GAATAAATTAACTCCTGATTTTAGGAGATTTAATTTTTAAGGTATGGATTGCTATTGATAAAGTTCAGTTGTTTTGACGCACCGCCACATCGGGGAAGTCGGGGTTGGGGTCCCCGACAGGAGGGAATTTTGCACCTTAACACGGGCTTGCTTGTTTGTTATCTCTCCATCTATCTACTAACCATCTATCGTGCTCGGGAAGAATGACAAATTCCTCTCTTAGCTTATTAACTATCGACTACTATATCCCCTTAAGCTATATCATATCAACCCCAATTGGGTAAAATGATGCCTTCGGGCACGTCCGAAATTAACGACTCGTCATATTAAGCCCATTTTCATGACTCACTCCCCTTCAAATAAGGTAACCCGTCAATGTGTCATTTTTTTAGAGGACTGTTGACACGGACATTTTCCATCTCTCGCGTGGTGCTTTCCTTCCGTTCTTCCATTGCATTATCAGAATTTCTCCGTCTGGCATCCCACCACCACTCACATTCCTCCTAACTACTAGTTACTTCTCCCTATTTACGGGCCTATACCCACTTCTAGTCGATCAAACAGCCAGCCACCCGTCAGGCACACATGCCAGCTACACCACTGACAAGGATGTCAACTGCAACCCGGGATCATGCCCAGGACAAGGCGGATCCCATTCTCCATCAGGCCTGTCGCTTCGACGAAACATCACCACATTCTGAATGGACCCAGTCTCAGCTGCTTCCATTGCTCCGGTCCCATCTCCCTCACTCCCTGCCCTTGCTCCGCCGTATCCAGCATGAGATCGCCCATCCGTCCCCCACTGCAGTTATCCTAACCACATTCCCGGGTCCAGCCTCGTCTTCAGCCTCGTCACCAGTGTCACCCTCAGCCTCAGGGGAATCAATTCCAGAACTAGTCTCTAATCCTGGTCTAGTTTCAGTTCCAGGTCCCCGGGTCCCCGACACTGCGACTCCTCTGGCACCTGACACCGTGGTCCCTGCAGCTCCTTCGGATCCTGAATCCTTCCTCCCCTGGCTGATCGCCTACGTTGACCTTAACGCTGGCCGCGAGACTCAAGTCATGGTGTACTCGAATCTCGAGCGCACCGCCTCCATTCCCTACACTAGCACTAGCACCTCCCCAGAACCATCATCCCCAGGAGACACCATTGGTAGTGATAGTAGTAGCAATAGCAATACTAGCACAATCCCTATAACCACCCTCCCACCTCAACACCAACCCCTCTTACGCACCCAGCTCCTCTCCCTGTTACACCACATCAAGCAACATCTTCTACCCCCTTACCTCATCACCTTATCCCAATCCCCATCAACCCAAACCCAACCCCAAGACCACCAACTTCCCCCTCCTCCCCCTACCGCCTTCTTATTTGGAAACCTGCACACGGGCCTCTTCTCCACCCTCCTCACCAGCTACACATCCTACTCTCTCTCGCAGACCACTTCACCCGCAGATTTTATCCCGGGGATCAAAGTCCACCGCTTCAGTCAGCCAGCCTACGTCAAGTACCTTCTTCCCAAGGAAGTCATCTGCCATCAACCTCAAGACAAGGAACGAGGGAACTTACCCCCCGGCTTCCACTTCAGCGATGGCTGCATCCCGAGAAAGAATCTAGGGCTTGTACGGTCGAGAACAGTCATTCCTAGATCAGAGGAGACGCTGGCAAAGTTGAGGAGTTGCGCGGTGTATCGCGATGGCGATGTGACTCAGACGCCAGTTGCGTGGGCGTTCCTCGGCACGGATGGGAGTTTGGCGACGTTGCATGTGGAAGAAGAGGTTAGGGGGTTTGGGTTGGCTGGGGTTGTAGGGAGGGAGGTGATGAGGAGGGGGATTGAGGAGGACGAGGGCTTGAATGATGGGTGGATGCATTCGAATGTATCGGAGGATAATTTGGCGAGTAGGAGGGTTATGGCGAAATTGGGGGGGAGGGTAGGGTGGACGGTTTGTTGGTGTGTTTTGGAGGTGTAGATTACATACTATGTAGATTGTATATATTTTGTTTCATGTCTAGAATTGATCATGATGTTCTTTGCCAGGTAATGTCATGAATGTGGGCAGTCACTGCATCTACTTGTACATGCCTAGTACTATAGCGATAGTCAACCTCCCAACACCGATTCTACCATACCTCATCATCAAAACAAACTACAAGGCACATTATCCAACCACGACATATCAACGAAACCAGGTGAATCCCAAGTATACAACACCGCCGCCGAGAGTCCCTCGCCTAGCGAGCCAATGCGAGAATATATATATATATATATATCTTTTGGGTTCGTATCTAGCACGTTACAGTACCTTTATGGCTTACTAGTTAATGAGGACAACCTTAGTACTCACCGAACTGCTCAGGACTTTGTGGATTATGAGGGGGGAATTTGGTAAATTCACCAATACTCTTGCAGTTGCAGTGAACAAAAGAGTTATTCAAGCGACAAGGCCATGATAACCGGCAAACGCTTCTCCAAAAGAAAATGCCCTCGAGTGGATAGCCGGCTATGTCGCCGCTGGCAAAAGGATCGCGTGCCCCAATAGTGCTTCAGCAAGGTATTTGACAAGTTTGCTGCTCCTTGTTTGTCCGATTTGAGTGTTCTTTAAGGTCATTTACGTATAATTAAAGTTATTTAAATTCCTCTGGGCATCAGTTCTGAACGCAATATAGGTCCTCCCAGTGCAGCTTATAAATTGCGTCTTAAGATGCTGGTCAACGGCGAGGTGTGTGTTAGGGTAAAAACTCTGATGACTTTACTATTTGATGTGCTTCATCTTATTGGCTTTCTTAGGTAGGGGATTGTGTTGGAAAAGGGGACCGTTATCGCGACTGGGACGCCGTCGAGATGGCGGTGGGATGATTCCGCCGACGTATCTGAGGGATGGAGATGTTGTTGAGGTGGTGGTTGAGGGGGGTGGGAAGTTTGAGGAATGTTATAGAGGGTTGTTGCTATTCTCCTGTGAGCTAAGCTTATGTGCATTAGTCTGAGGTTTCGGAGACATTCCGGAGATATATACGGTGACATATGACCAAAGCGTGTAGCATCTCAGATTACTGTATCCCCTTCATTTGTAACCAATATTATTATATTCCCTCATTATATACATTAGTGCACTGCATACCACAGCACTTCCATAATGGTCAATTAACCAAGAGAATGTGACAGTATCATATCTTATTCTTACTATCATCCCCCCACACTCCACACCCACCACTCATCCCATACTCAATCCCAGAATACCCCGGCGGTCCTCCATCCCTCGACCCATCGCCATCATAAACAGCAAACGGACTATCCGCCTCCACCGTTTTGATCGTCGCCCTCAGCACCGCCCCATCAGCAGTGACAACCATATCCGACGCCCCATCACCACCATCACAATCCCATCGACATCCTCTCTCAGCGGGGATATTGATCAATTCCCGAGAGGATTGAGCGGGGAGCTCAGCACGAGGACGGTAGAAGCCCGTGTCGCTGAGTTCAGCGGCCCGATTCTTTTTATAGGGGTAGGATGGTGTTGACTCAGAGAATGTGAATGAGGGAAGGGATGGTGTGTGGCTATGGCTGTGTTTGTGCTTGTGCTTGTGGGTGTGAGTGTGATGGGTGTACTTGGGTAAGGGGGAGGTGCTGTTTCTTCTTCTGGTTCTTGCTGTTGGTGGTGGACGGGGAGAGGTTCCTGGGGGATAGGTTAGTCTGTTACTACGATATGGGTGCATCCGATGGTTAGAGGGTATACCGTTTGGTGACTCGGGTTTGCTGTTATGTATACTGCGCCATCGTAGCAAGGTGAAGGTTTGGTGTCTTCGTTTTCGGGCACGCTGAACGCAGAATACTAATAAGATGACGAGAAGGACGAGGCCAACGGCGCCGGCCACTGTTCCCCCTATTAGGGGTGCGGTGGGGTGCCATGTGTCTGAGACTTGGGATGTTGCAAGGCTGGCTTGAATAGTGGACTGGGTAGGGGCTGTTGATGTTGTTGAAGCGAGTGTCGTGGTAGGATGTCGAGTTGAGGTAGAGGATGTAGTTGTGGCCATCGTTGTGGAAGAAGTTTTTGAGGCTGTCGATGTACTCCTTACAGATGAAGGGGCCTCTGTGCTGGTCTCCGATGAAGATGTAGGAGTAGAAGATAGTGCAGACGAAGTAGATATTGTGGATGTGGCAGGCTGTTGAACCAAGGTCGTCAAGGAGACGGGCTCATCCTTCGTGGTAGAAGCAGCATCAACGAGAAGAGAACTGCTACTACCACTGCCACCACTGGTTCCACTGCTGCCACTCTCATCCGGACAGACCCCCGTCGTGCACGGATCGACCGAACAGCAGCCCTTGAACCCACCAGCAGCGCAGACATACCACTGCGCATTGGCCGGGCAAGACCCATTCTGGCGGACAGCGAGCCGTGCCATGCTGCAAGCACTGCAGATATCGCTTGAGACACCAACAAAACCAAACTAAATCAATAGTCGGGCACAGTAATTTTAAACGAGTGTCAGAGATCTAAACGAACGAAGTAATGATCTGATGTTCACCGACATGTGCCGATGGCGATGAAATATCGACTTTCCTTGAAGATTTGAGGGCAAAACTTAGTCAGTGCCAGCCACAGTGGGCGACGCCGTCTAGAATGTTGAATCCCGTTCTTTGTTCTGCTCATCCCGCAGTGGGTAAAGTTTCCAACTCAACCCGAGAAGCTCGTGAGGAGATGCATTGCCGCCCCGTCCAGACAAGGGACCCGGATGCTTTTCCATGGGGCGAATCCGATGTATCCATCGTCGCGGTCTTTATAGCTCTGAGACCGATCGAGAAGGTCGTCTGCTTGCCACAAGGTCGGAATCGGTAGTACTAGAATCTATTGTTGGAGAATCCTGCGAGGGTCTATGGTCAATGTCTTTCGTTTAAGGGGTTCTTCGAGAAAAGCCCCCTGCGGGTCATCAAGTTTCTTTGTCTTCGGCCGCAGGATCAAAGAGGATGCGAGCGCTGACGCCAGCCTTCCTTTGACATGTAGTTACCATTTGCAGCAAGACATTAACACGAGACAGTACTCTGTGGCTCAACACAAAAACTCCATTGTATGGGATGTAGTAAACGGCTATAAAAGACAATACACGTGAGTACACCAAACTCATCGCCTGGAAAGAAACCTTGGATATACACATATGAACACACAAATAAACACGGTCGAATTTTCGTCACGCTCTTTTCCTCCACCATCCCCTAGGCTAATACATTGCGTCTAGTAGACACGCTTGAAGGGAGGCACCGACTTGCACTCGCTCTCATCGAGAGTGTTGTGCTCAACGGCGCGGTAGCCAAGCTTGACCTCACCGTGGGGCTTCTTCTGCCAGGTGAGGGTGTGCTTCATCCAGTTCTCGTCGTCACGGTCGGGGTAGTCCTCACGGGCGTGAGCACCACGGGACTCCTTACGGTTGGCGGCGGCAATGGCGGTTTGAGAACTGTGACTCGGGTTAGCCAATATCCAACATTACAAAACTCTCCAGGAATACATACGCGCAGGTCAACAGGTTACGAAGCTCAAGGGTCTCAACAAGATCCGAGTTCCAGATCATGCTGCGGTCCTTGGTACCAACCTGGTCGAAGGACTGGTCGATAGCGGTGACCTTCTCAACACCCTCATCCAAACTCTCCTGGGTACGGAAGACGGAAACATCGGACTGCATGGCCTTCTGCATGGCGCTGCGGATGTCGTTGGTGGACTTGGGGCCCTCGGCGGTACGGACGAAGTCCAGGTCGGCAATGGACTGAGCACCAGCGTCGGAGCTCAGCTCCTTGTGGGGCTTGCCAGGGGTGGCGATGTCACGGACACGGTGGGAGACGGCACGGCCGAAGACAACCAGGTCCAGAAGAGAGTTGGCACCGAGACGGTTAGCACCGTGGACGGAGACACAAGCGGCCTCACCGCAAGCGTACAGACCAGGGACAACCTGGTCGTTGCCGTTCTCATCCTGGGTCAGGACCTCACCGGTGTACTTGGTGGGGATACCACCCATGTTGTAGTGGACGGTGGGCAGGACGGGGATGGGCTGCTTGGTGACGTCGACACCGGCGAAGATAGAGGCGGTCTCGGAGATACCGGGCAGACGCTCGTGCAGGAGCTTAGCGGGCAGGTGGCTCAGCTGGAGGTAGATGTGGTCCTTCTCGGGACCAACACCACGGCCCTCACGGATTTCGAGGGTCATGGAACGGGAGACAACGTCACGGGAGGCCAGATCCTTGGCGGTAGGAGCGTAACGCTCCATGAAACGCTCACCCTCGGAGTTGAGCAGGTAACCACCCTCACCACGGGAACCCTCGGTGATCAGGCATCCAGCACCGTAGATACCAGTGGGGTGGAACTGGACGAACTCCAGATCCTGGTTGGGGAGACCGGCACGGGCGACCATGGCCATACCGTCACCAGTGCAAGTGTGAGCAGAAGTGCAACTGAAGTAGGCACGTCCGTAACCACCGGTGGCCAGGACGGTGTGGTGGGCCTTGAAACGGTGGAGGGTTCCGTCCTCCTGGTTGTAGGCGATGATACCGCGGCACTCGCCGTCCTCCATCAGAAGATCGAGGGCGAAGTATTCGATGAAGTAGTTGGTGTTGTGGCGGAGAGACTGTCCGTAGAGGGTGTGGAGAAGGGCGTGACCGGTACGGTCAGCGGCAGCGCAGCAACGGTAGGCCTGGCCACCCTTTCCAAACTCCTTCGACTGACCACCGAACGCACGCTGGTAGATACGGCCGTCCTCGGTACGGGAGAAGGGGCAACCGTAGCCCTCCAGCTCACGAACACTAGCGGGAGCTTCTCTGGTCATGTAGTGAATGGCATCCTGGTCACCCAGCCAGTCAGAACCCTTCACGGTGTCGTACATGTGCCATCTCCAGTCATCCTCGTGCATGCTGCAGGCCGGACCATTAGCGCCTTCGCAAGACTCAAGGATATAAAACAACTCACTTTCCAAGAGCGGCGTTGATACCACCCTGAGCGGCAACAGTGTGAGATCTCGTGGGGAAAAGCTTAGAAACACAGGCAGTGTTGAAGCCAGCTTCCGCCAGACCGAAAGCGGCACGCAGACCGGCACCACCAGCACCGACAACGACGGCATCGTACTCGTGGTCCTGCAATTGCATTAGCGACCATCGCTCCCACAACATATATCCACGTAGTAGCTTACAATGATGGGGTACTTCTGAGCAATGAAGCCTTCGGCCTCCTTGGCGCGCAGAGGGCCGTTGCCAAATATCCGGGCTAGCGGAGGGACGAGTTAGCAGATGTAGGCAGGGGCGGGCATGTGAGTCCAATGCGTACCAGCCGGGCGGGAAGAAGAGAAGAGACGTCTCTGGCCCAAAGTGCGGGAAATCTGCACCAGCAAGACGAGTCAGTAAGACCATTAAAGATAGAGGGAACGTGGTGAGCCAGGGTTCGGCATCACGGCGAAAGAAGTCGGATACAGACCTTCGCTGCGGGAGCTAGGCTCCGCATGCCCAAGGAGCTCATGATGACGGATCAAGAGAAAAGAAACACTTTTCCAATGAGTCCGAAGGAGGGGAGATGTGGTGGAGGAAGGGAAATCAGCGGCACAAAAAGACGGGGGAGGGGAGAGGAGAGACGAGGTCAAGGCCGGTGATGCTTTGCGAGCTGCACTTTTGGATCGTCGGTTCTGGCGAAGAGAGCGAAGAGACCGGCTGACATAATCAGCGATTCACTTGCCGACGGGGAGGACCGGGGCCGAGAGCACCAATCAGAGGCCGCGCAGTGGTAATCACCTCGGGCAGCCGGCAGCCTGTCATTGGCCGAGACTGCACAGGCACGTGGCCGGTCTTCTTTTAACCCGGCAGCGCGCGAAGAATTCCGGAGCAACACGGCCGGCCTGGGGACGACGACGACTTATTGCTGGGGTTGATCGGCTTCCCAGCTCAGGGTTTCCCTTCTAGTCTCGTCCCGGAATACTGTGTTTCTTTGGTGACATTTTGCTGTCATTGAACCCCGACCAAGCTCTGTGTTGACCTTATTCCGAAGTTGCCGGGCGCGCATGCAACAGAATTCTACGTACTACGACCCTTACTTGTCTGATGATGTAGGTTGCCATGCACTTCATACTTACTAGTGCAGTGTACTAGTAGCTTATATGTCGTGTGGCCGGCAGAACATCACTGTCATATATAACTGCACAATCATATTATAGATCCCATCGTAGACTGACTGAATCACCAATGTCATGTATGATCATACACATCCGTCCAGCCATGCAATGTAACCAACCCATACCGTCTAATTATACTGCATGTACGTCGCCGTCGAGTTAAACTTCAGGTTACCCTTGATCACCTTGTCCACCGCGGCGAGGAAGTCCTTCTCCGTAGCCACCTTCCGCCGCGCCCGAATGGCAAACATGCCCGCCTCTGTCGCAACACTCCGGAGCTCAGCTCCCGTAGCGTTGGGGCACAGGCGCGAAATCAGCTCCCACCGAATGTCCCGCTCCACCGACATGCTCTTGGCGTGAATCCGGAGAATGTTGGCACGACCCTCGACATCCGGGAGCGAGAACTCGATCTTACGGTCGATACGACCAGGACGCATCAGGGCAGGGTCCAGAGTGGACGGTCGGTTGGTGGCGAACATGACCTTGATGTTACCACGAGCGTCGAAACCATCCAGCTGCGTAATCAACTCCAACATGGTACGCTGAACTTCGTTGTCACCACCCGCTCCGTCGTCGAAACGAGCACCGCCGACCGCATCAATTTCATCGAAGAAGATAATGCACGCCTTCTTTGTTCGGGCCATCTCGAAAAGCTCACGGACCATCCGAGCACCCTCACCAACATACTTCTGCACCAACTCACTACCAATGACACGGATGAAAGTAGCGTCGGTTCGGTTGGCCACGGCTCGAGCGCAAAGTGTCTTACCGGTTCCGGGAGGTCCGTAGAGCAGGGCACCCTTCGGCGGGTCGATACCGAGGTTCACGAAGCGCTCTGGTGATAGCAATGGCATCTCGACGACTTCTCGCAGCTTCTCAATTTGTTCCTTGCATCCTCCGACATCGCCGTACGTCACATCGGGCTTGTCCTCGACAGTCATCATCGTCACGCTGGGGTCGATCTTAGGAGGAAGAGGTAGCATAATCTGATATTTGTTGCGATCGACACTGTCATCTGTTAGAAGGGAAGATGCATAGCAAAACTGCAGGGTCATACCCGACTCTCATGCCCTCCTCGATATCCGTAGGACTCACGCGTTCCCCGAGGTTGACGACAAACTTGGCGATCTGCTTAACGTTGATAACATATTTGCTCTTATCCGAGTCCTTCTCATCCGAAATGATCTTTGTACAACGGGCTACCTGCAGCGGTTGCTCCTCTGCCATGCGCTGTCGGTCCGCAGCAACATCCCAAAGGTGTGGAGGCGCAAGACCGGTATCGGATTCCTAAGCAGCTCGTCAGACGTGTCCGGTATGACGTATATGGCAGACCTAGATACCTTGACACCAATCTTCTCGTTTACACTCGCTTGTCTGTCCTTGATCTGCTTTTCGAGCTTCTTTAATGCCGTGGCGTAGGGAGCGGCACCGTAGGTCTTCAATACTTGGATATCCCTGCGGCCAGTTAGCCATCCAGATGCGCGAATCAACCACAGTTGATGCTGATAAAACACCGGAATCACCTACTCATCTGTAAGAGGGGTGATCTTCTTCTCTGGCTCTTCGTCATCGGCGAAGTTCTTCTTGTACTTCTCCCAGTTCTCTCCCGTGGCGCTAGGCATGGTGGTGGGAGGATATGTGGCAAGACGGCAAGATGATGGACTAACAAATCAGTTCAGAAATGTATTTGTAGAGTGTAAATGAGGGGGGATTAAATGAAAGGTGCAAAGGCAATGAAGGGCGTGGTGGTGAGATGGAGCTTGATAGATGGAAGAGTGATGTGGTGAGCTCAGCTTGTTGCGGTTCGAGCTGTTGACGCTAGTGGCCGCCAAGCCCAGCAGCAACACCGCCCAAAACGCAACACCGAAGAAATTCCCAGAGCCGCCTCCAGGTTCTGGATCCCCTCGCCTCACCCACTCTTCTTTATCTTCCCCGGTTTCATCAATCTACGGTGTTTATATCGTAGCTATTTTTATCATGGCGTCGACAGCCTCCCAACCGGCCCCCAGCGGCAATGCTTTCAAGGTGCGTCTTTTTCGCGGAGAGAAATACGTGTGGGCCGTTTTCTGATAGACTGCAGGACAAGGAGAAGCCTATGGCCGTCCGTACGTCCAACATTCTGGCTGCCAGAGGTATGTATCTATTCGGAATGTGCTCAGGGGTTTCAAGTACTAATTGCAATCAGCCGTGGCCGATGCCATCAGAACAGTACGCTTGCTTCGATATCGATATGACAAATGAGGGGCTAACCGCAACGCAGTCTTTGGGACCCAGGGGTATGGACAAGATGGTAGGATACATGTCTACTAATTGGAGGTACCGTGGCTAACATAGTAATAGATCCAAACGCCCAAGGGAAACACAATCATCGTACGATCACCTCTCTGTATACCGACTCACACACCCCGCTAACCCCCGCAGACGAACGATGGAAACACCATGTTGAGGGATATGAGCGTCATGCACCCCGCCGCTAGGATGCTGGTCGATCTCAGTGCGGCCCAGGATGTTGAGGCTGGTGATGGTACCACGTCTGTTGTCGTTATTGCCGGAAGCCTGCTCGGTGCTGCAGAGCGCCTGCTTGGAAAGGGTATCCATCCCACTGTCATCTCGGAGTCCTTCCAAAGAGCCGCTGCCGCCGCTGTCGAAATCCTCACCAACATGTCTCGCCCCATCAACCTGACGGACCGCTCCACCCTCCTTCAGGCTGCTTCCACCTCCCTCTCCTCCAAGATTGTTTCGCAGCATTCCGGCCTCCTCGGTCCTATGGCCGTGGATTCCGTGTTGAAGGTCGTCGACCCCAAGACCGCTGAGAACGTCGACCTCCGCAATATCCGTATAGTGAAGAAGGTTGGAGGAACGATTGAGGACAGTGAGATGGTTGATGGCTTGGTTCTGAACCAGCAGGTCATCAAGAGCAGCGGCGGTCCTACCAGAATTGAGAAGGCCCGGATAGGTCTGATTCAGTTCCAGCTCAGCCCGCCTAAGCCTGATGTAGGGTCGAGGATCCCTTGAGCCTGAAATGCAATACTAACAATGGCTTCAGATGGAGAACCAGATCGTCGTGAACGACTACCGCCAGATGGACAAGATCCTCAAGGAAGAGCGCCAATACCTCCTTAACATGGTCAAGAAGATCCAGAAGACCAAGTGCAATGTCCTTCTGATCCAGAAGTCCATCCTCCGTGATGCCGTCAACGACCTTTCCCTTCACTTCCTTTCTCGCCTTAAGATTTTGGCCGTCAAGGATATCGAGCGTGATGAGGTTGAGTTCCTCTGCAAGAGTTTGGGCTGCAAGCCTATTGCCAACATTGACTCTTTCACCGAGGACAAGCTGGGTACCGCTGACCTGGTTGAGGAAGTGCAGCAGTCTGGTGCTCGCTATGTGAAGGTCACCGGTATCAAGACCCCTGCTGCCGCCGCCAACCAGACCGTTTCGATCGTCGCCCGTGGCGCCAACAACCTCATTTTGGACGAGGCTGAGCGTTCTCTTCACGACGCTCTTTGTGTCATCCGTTGTCTGGTGAAGAAGCGCGCCCTCATCGCTGGTGGTGGTGCTCCTGAAATTGAGATCGCCCACGCCCTTGCCATGCGTGCTCGTCAGCTGACCGGCACGGAGGCTATCTGCTGGAAGGCATTCGCTGATGCCATGGAAGTCATTCCCACCACGCTGGCAGAGAATGCCGGTCTGAACTCGATCAAGGTTGTCACTGAGCTGCGCCACCGCCATGCCCAGGGCCAGCACAACGCAGGAGTCAGCATTCGCAGTGGTGGCGTGAAGGACGACATCACTGAGGAGAACATCCTGCAGCCGCTCCTGGTGAGTACCAGCGCGATCGAGCTGGCTGCTGAGACGGTGAAGATGATTATGAGAATTGATGACATTGCTTTGTCGCGGTGAGCGATGGCGCGGAGTGAAATGGAAAATTAAGCCAGGTGGTGTACTATGACGAGTAATTTATCAATCATACCATGTTCAAAAGATAGATCGTTGGTGTTTAATTGCACATAATCATCGCCATGCAATTTCCTTGTATTCATCTACCGTAGTGTTCGCTATGAATCCAATATTGATGCTGTGTCCCATTCATAATTCATGACTCTTCACCCTTGCTGTATGCAGTGCCGATACCGCAGTTAGGGAAGGACAGGACGTTACTGCAGCCCGCCACCCGATTAACATCGGAATTTACCAGTTTTCTTCATTAAATCGCCGGAAGTCACAGATATATATCTAATTGCATGATTAGCCAGCAATCGTCTGGGTGGAAAACTGGCTATAAAGGCAGCCTCCGTCTTCCCTTCCTCCCCTTCATCTTTCTTCTCTACAGCACTGCCAGTCATGAGCACTAATCTTATGGGAGTGTATACTTAGACTACTACACTTATATCAACTTTCATTCCTAAGTCTCGAAATATCCATCTTTTCATCTCTATCTCCATGCTATCGTTCCAGTTACCCAAATCGTCAACGGGGATGTATGTATTCAGAAGATGCAACACTTCCGGGTTCCAGGAGCTTGATGTCTCTTTTCTATAACCTATTAGCTTGGTGCCCATCAGTACATAACTTTCTCCCGTCTCTCCGATAAATTTTGCATGCGCCTGCAACCGGACAAATCCAATCAAGTGATGTTCAATACGCAGAATCCTGCCCCCTAACCCGGGTGGTCGGCGGGGTCATCATCGTCCATCAGGACCTATATTGAATGTGGGAAGCCAGCGGTAATACGTTTTTATGGCTTCTCCAAAACCCTATTGTCGGTGCTCCGACTTTTAAACCTAAATATTCACACCCCAAGATGGAATTTGATCGGAAGATGGCTTTCCAAAGACATGCAAGATTGGATCCCATGATTCGAGCAGATGGTGAATGCTAGCTGGGAGTACCTGGTAGAAAAAGATAAAGACGTATGGCCCATATGAACGCTGTCGATGAATCCCTAGATTCATTATGTGTGACATCAAACGATGATAGTCCGATCCCTGAAAACTAGACGGAAAGACCAACAACCCCGAAAGAAGATCACATCGACAAGGACCCGCGGCAGCACAAACAGCTCTGGGACTTCCAGATATAGTGAAGAAGTTCCTGTCACACTGGCCTTTGTCGGCGTGGCGATTCATCATGCGGGACGGCAATCTGCTCTACATTCACAGGATTCAGTGTTGCCTTGGTACCTATAGGAAGGATTCACTACTTTCGTGTTGTTGGGCAATCTACTCAAAGTAGGGCTGGTGTCAGGTTTTCCGCCCAACAAATCTATGAAGACCTGAGGGACTCGGGAACGCCGCCATTCTACACCCCAAGGCGCATGCAATGCCAAATTCCAAATTCCAAATGGGAGCTTGATCATGCGCTGTCCTCTTCTTCACGGCGATAGACTTGAGGCCGAAAGCATCTTCACCCTCGCTGCATTACGGCTTTGTCGAGATTCAGACAACAGCAGGACTATGAAAGAAAATGCAATTCCAGTGCTCAGAAATTAACACTGAAAATCATTCACTAAGGATACTGTCGCTGCCGCACTGCCGATATTCACATCCTGGGTGAATCTCTCATGACAAATTGTGGCCGCACAAGAAAAAACTCAGCTATGTATACAGGCGAGAAAGCATTTTCAATTCTCTCCTCTTTTCATTTCTTCATCACTCAGTTCTTTCCTCACTTCATTCCTCTCCTCTCAACCCGCTCTACATCGCGATTATTTCTCAACACTCAGTGAGGTTGGCTTTTCATATTTACTGCTTCCTTGAAGAAATAATATCGTGATGAAGAAGACAAGGCACTACGAGCTACCTATACTCAGCTTGCAGAGTTCATGGCTCTCTTCGGTGGCCTTCAGGCCTCATGAAGTGTATGACCTACTCATGACTACCCGTTGAATGGTAAGTTTGCTGACCATTGAAGGGATTTTACATCAATTTGAAGGGATTTTACATCAACAGAGAGAACGAGGAAGTTGGTATCTTCACAGATAATGAAGACCGCAAGCTCCAGTGTTTCACAGCACACAGACTTGGTAGGTGTCTTTTCTTGCTCCTTTCCTATCACAGGGCGATGGCTGTGACAGCGTGTCACATGACAACGAATCGATTGAATTGAAGCTTATAAGTGATGCGCGTTCTGAGTCTGTTGACTCAGAATTCTAGTCTTTTACCGGTTAGCCGAGTGGTTAGTATCGGACGATTCACTCCTGAAGCGCACCAGGAGTGGATCGTGACAATGGCGTTTATCTTTGTGGTATCGTTTGTTGAACTGACTGAGCAGTTTTACTACGCGCTAGACCAACTGACAGCATCTTCCAAAAGAAACCTGGAAGAGATGGTTTCCAGGAAATCCCGTTCCCTGGTCCTGTACTTCACCTTGACGCAGTCAGCTCTCTCCATCGCGGTCGCTCCTCTGGCAATCGACACGAACCACAACCTCAGCGATCCTGGCGTGGACATGATCAATGCCAAATAGGTCAGTCCCTTCAGAGTAGTGCCGCTGTGCCTCTTGAATATTGACTAACACTCGCATCTTCTAAAGTGAAACTCATCAACGTTCCTCAAAATGGTCGTCCAACTCCTCGAAGACACAGCTAAGACTGTTCTACAATTGGAGAAGAGTTCCTGAAAGAATTCTTTTTAGACTATATACTACTAGGAGTAAATAATCTCCTAGGCGGATCACTGGTCCCCAGAACATCAAGAGAAAGAAGCGCAGTGCTTCTCTAAGCATCATCCAGTTTTCTCGTTGTCTCCTTCTTTGCACGGGAGACCTGCATTCCCAGCAATTGATAAGGAGGGTGCTAGCAGCACACCTTGAAGCACATAGCAATCAAAGCTCACTTCAAAACTAAGTATCCCGACCTTGTTCAAACGGTACCAAGAGACGTTACTGGTTGACTGGCTATCTCAGACAGAGGTTCCAGTAGCTACCAGTCCTCCAACCGATACAACTGCTTGCTAGCATCAACATCGGCAACCTCGACTTCCAGGTGGCAGTCTTAAGCCACTATCACCGACCGGCTCACCCTCTTATCCACTCACCTCGCCTTCTCCAGAACACTCGATCTCATACCCTCTTATGTTCGACATCAATTCAATATCATACCTAGCCGTTATGGGCCACCCTTCAATGTGAAGTTGAGTCGGCATGCAGTAGCAACCAGAAACCTCCAGTGAGTATGGTTCTTTCTAAGCATTCCTATCCATGGTTTCTTCTTACTGATTGGGAAAGCTCATTACAGGACGCTCGCAACCAAAATTCTTCCTCGGTCTCCTAGGATGACATTTAACATAACGAAAAAAAAAAAAAAAGAAAATAAGATTACAACAAAAGAAGAAGATCAAAATTTCAAGAAGTCAAAAGCGAAAGGAAAAGAGAAGAAAAGAAAACATACACACACAGAGGAGAAAAATTTCCCTGAAAAATGAATTAAAGAAGGAAGAAAAGAAAAGGGCAAATGGCAAATCGCAAATTGCAGAGGGCAAGCATCAGAAAGCAACGAATCAACCTCCACAGATCCCAATACCCCTGCTCTCGACAGAAGAACATCGTGAACGTTCCGGACTTCGGCCTCTCAACTTGGACATCTTTCACAACAATTGATACAATCAATGAACAAACGGACGGGCCTCCCTGGTTCTTCCAGACTGAGTGGAAAGCAGCAGCAGGTTCCATCGATCCGACTCCCGGTCTTCTCTCGCCTCTGTCATTTACAGACTGCGTTGGACGAACGGGACGGCGTGAGTTCCTCAGTCGTGCCATTCCACTTAGTTACGCCAGAGGCACTCCGGCTACTCGGCTTACAGGCTGGGTGAAATGCAGCAGCAGGTTCCATCGATCCGACTCCTGGCCTTCTCTCGCCTCTGTCATCTACAGACTGCGTTGGACGGACGGGACGGCGTGAGTTCTTCAGTCGTGCCCATCACTCAGCCAACCAAGAGAGTCCAAGTTGATCTATACAGGCTGAGCGAGAAGCAGCAGCAGGTTCCATCGATTCCGACCCCCGGCCTTCCAATGCCTTCGTCACCTTTGACGACGTAGCGGACGGACGGGGCGGCGTGAGTTCCTCAGTCGTGTGATCTCGCTCAGCTGGTGTACGAGTCCAAGCAAAAGAACGATGTTCAAGTCTGATGCAGCATGGGATTGATTCGTTGTTTCCTCTGAATATCCTTCGTCCTTCAGTCTTCATCAGGAAAATAAAACTGTCTCAAGTCTGCACATCCTACTCTCCAGTCCTGGCCTAGCCCGTCAACATACCATGTCGTCAAGCAACAAAGAGCATATCGAAGATGGGATTTTCCGAACTACACAGTGAAAACATCCACGCATGATGGCATTCCCACCAGTCCAACTTCCTTTCTCCAAGTCTCCGATGACGGAAAATACCATATATATCATCCATCACACCGAGGCATGATACATTATCTGCCTACGGCTGGAGATGTAATGTCTGTGCGAAACAATAATGTCCACACTTGCTGGCTGCTCTACTCACTGAAAACTACAACCTTCCTAACAAAAATCCCTATAGCTGCAGCTACTAGGCCTGGCTTCACTCACAAGTATCCCACGGCGTATGAACTCGGCCTGTGGCGAACACAATGTCGACGAGGACTGAAGCGTACCGGGCTCATGACCTGCTTGCAATTGTTCCGGAAATTTTGAAGGGGGTGATTGGCGATATATAATCATCTTTGCTACTATTTCGTTCGTCCTTAGAGGACAACCTTTGGCAGAATACACTGTCTCCGTGGGGCTTTAAGACCTTCGAATGAAATCATAGATTCCCGAGACACTCGAGCAGGTTGAATACCACTTGCTAGCCAAGCACACCATTCATACATGTTTTCGCAGCGATGTCGATCCTACCTTCTCCAAGATAAGGTACTTCAGATCATCCGCAACACGAAACTTTTTACCAACAATGTCCAACTATATGACATGTCCTGCAGTCGAATGCATCACGCTGGATTTGATCTTGGGATCAATTGACGAAAATCGTCCGGATTGATGTCTGTCCTTGGACGTCATCTTCCAATTCGGAGAAAAGAAAGGGCTCGGATATCTGTTACCATTTCATCCTGTCTTGTCTGGTCTTGTCTTGTTCTTGTTGTATGATATCTCCTTCAATGAATGATGAACATAAATCCATCGGGGTTGTCTGCATCTGGATGATACTTTTGTATGCCTTCATACCAATTGTTATTGTCTCAATGGAATCTACTGTGGATACACAACCATCCTATCCTATGTACCAGATGATATGATACATGTGCAGCAGCAGCTAGACATAGATGCTGCACGGTGCTTTATCACATTATTATTCTCCTCCTCGAGATAACCAATAAAAATCCGAGGTTGCGAATATCTCCTCTACATCAGCAACTCTTCGAGATCCTCGAAAGCAGGATCTCACTACCACACTTCCTTCCTTCCAAACCCCACTAACTCAGCACATATTATTCTCTCACCAGTCAAGTCTCTTTGCATAATTCGAGTATATCGAATAGAAACTCCAGTGGTCTATCCCACTCCCTCTACAATACATAGAACAAACCCCAGTTCCTATCTAGCAAGCATTTCCCAGTGAGTGGGATGCGATAGCAATCGAATCAAATGTCACAGACCCGAAGAATCATCCTGCACCTCATTATTCATTATATGAAAGGAAGAAGAACTTCCACCCATGGCCGTGCGTATCCTCAGTGAACTGTGTTTACTATGTCTATTGAACATTTTTGGATGCTAAGAGGATCATGTTTTGTTAGTGGGTGGTTGGGGTGGAAGTCATGACTACGGTGCCATTTCTGTATTGGGGATGATGGAACACAGTTCCTACTAATTCAGAGTGATGAAAGGTGTAGGATCAACTCGTTGTTGCTGTTGTTGTTGGAATGGTGTGGTTATGGTGGGGCTTGAATTATCATGAGAAGGGGGTGGGGTGTGATGTGATGTGGTGTGGTGTGGTGTGGTGTGGTGTTCTCTTTTCGAGTTGGATATGAGCGGGCTGGTGTCCTTTGTATTCTTTGCATAGTGGGGGTTGCATGTGTCGCGAATAGAAGAGTATGGGATGAAGTGGGATAATGGAACGATTCAAGTAAATCCAATTCTTATTCTTCTATCTAATTGAGTATTCTATTGTGTAATAGGATGAGAGTAGGGAATTAAGAGAGTTTGAATTTGGGATTGGAGGTTTGAAGGTTTTTGTCTACACAGTGGTTCTAGTTCTTTGGATGGAAGAGTGGAATTGAGTCAGATAGATGCACTGTTGTGGTCTGCTTGATCTATCATAAGTAAGGATATCTAACTAATGTTCTGGTTACGTCTTACTGCTTGAACTGAAGTAGTGGGATGTCAAATTACTCGTGTATTGACTAGCTGTCAAGGGGCAAGGGGTATAACTGCAACTAAATACTCACTCCAAACGCCATTCCAAACATCGATCCTAATCTCAACCAACAACTACTTTTCCCGCGGCTCCACAAATGATCCAAGAACATCTCATAGACCGACGACCGGAAAGCCTTGCTATGCATGCAATCCGTCCTTCCAAACAGAGGAGACATAGGAAAAGCAGTCAACGAATGTACCGCATCAAATATTCATAGCTTCATATCCCGTAATCACCATTATCGTTAGCACTCATATGAACGAACTAGATGCGATGTATATGGTCAGTCACGCAATGATGCCTGACCCAGAGGTTCCTGATCCCCAGCGGATGCGTTTGAGACCACCTCGGACGGCTTCTTGGCCACAGCCTGCCGCTGCTCTGCCGGGCACACCAGCATCGCCAGCCACGGTCATTCCCGTGCTGGCCTCCAAACGTCCGACTTCGCGGCCCAGCACGTAGCCGGCGGAGAAGCTGATAGCTGAAAACAAGACGACAACACCCGCGCTGATCACCCAGGTCATGACGGTGGGACTGGCAGTCGAAGCATCTGCTATGCTGGCTCGACGGCCCTTTTTTGCAGAGGAGTGGCTACGTTCTTTGGATGGGCTGGACCGCCGCTTAGCTCGAGGGGCCGACTGGACATCGCGGGGTGAGTATGCGGCCGGCTGCGGAGTGGGTCCCTGCCGCGGGGTCCGAGTGGGGACAGTCGCTTCCGTCCCTACGGCTTCCTCGCCAACTTCTCCTCCCATCGCTACTGACTCCGGTACTAAGCGGAAGGAAGATGGGTGGCCTCGAGAAGGACTGGCCTGTGAGGGGGGAGGGTCGGATTTGGGCAGACCGCGGGCCGCAGCAGCACAGGAGAGCAATGTGGATAGACTGGCACGCAGAGCGGCGTCGTGATCCGCGTGGTGGGACGGTGAGATCATATTGAATGGACTATGTTGCTGGGAGGATCTCCGTGCGGAGCGTATACTTGCTTGAGAGTTTCTGCGAATCGCTGTGCGACGGCTGGAGTTGGACACCTCACTGGGCTGTGAGCGGTGTCCTCCGGTAGGCCTCCAAGAGGTGTTCTGAGATGCAGGTGGGTGCGAGAAGACGTTGGGCTGAGGAACAAAGGGGGCTGAACCCATACGCATTCCCAACGCCGTTGAGTTGTCGTCGTCATCATCATCATCCTCATCGCTGGCATCATCGGAAGCGGTGGAAGAGGGACCTGGTCCCGGGACGAACGGGGTAGGTAAAGCTTGACGGACCATGTCCTCGTTCGAACTGCTGAGGACGCGGTCCGACTCGCTCTCACTCTCCTCGTATTCGTCTTGGCTACTGCTTTGTTCGCGGGACGAGTAGTCGACTTGGGCGGTGGTGACGGCAGCCAGCCGCTGCAGACGGCGCCGTCGGCTGCGATGGTATGCACCAGCTTCATCCTGCTGGACGCGCAGACCCGTGGTGATGATATCGTCGTTGGTGCCGGCGGAGGAGAGGGAAGAGGAGGAGGGCTGGGAGGAGACCTCGATCCAGGAATCTATATAATAACGTAGTGAGTACATGGTGGTGGTACAGATAATAGTGACTTTTGAAAGAGAACTGGCAATGCATGCAGATCGGAGTGAATGAAGATGCAGGGGACAGGTGCAGACATGCCAGGCGTAGGGCAAATATCTGGAGAAAACCAGGATGACGCACCTTCGGATCTCGTGGGCGCAACAGCAGCAGGCGACCGGGACTGCTGGAAGGCGTGAGGCTCGCGCGACGGCGGCTGATGGGCTTCTCGCGTCAGTCGCCCGACCGATCGAGGGTCATCGTGCACCTGACCCAGCAGGTCATAGTGGTTGGGTTGCATGATGTGAAAAGGAAGGAGGATAGGGGGAGAGTGACGAGAGGGGGTGGGAGGAGATGAAACAGTAGAGTAAGGAAAGAAAGGGATTAATAAGAAGGTAGAAGTAGAAGTAGAAGTAGAAGTAGAAGCAGGAGAATCAGCGGTGATGAGATGAGATGAGTGACCAGGCAGGCAACACACGGTCAGTCAATCCTCAGACCACGGGGAATGCAAGCGGACCGTTCAGCTCGTACGCTGAGCGGTCAGAAAAGGGCGGGGTTTGGGATGCAACAGTTCAGTTTGAATGGGTGATTGATGGGGGGAGGATCCGTTAAGATTATCTTATCAGTAGTACTTCGTAGGTGGGCAAGTGGATGCTGGCAGTTACCGTGAAGAAAAGCATCAATAAATTGGTACTTTAGGTTGGTTCCCTGTCTGTTCTCCAGCATCCAACCTGGAGTTCAAAATGAGAAAGAAGATACCTCCAGCTGCTTCTTCTTTCTATTCACTCAGGTTGAACGGGATAATCCAAGAACAACAATAGACGCGAGCAACAAGCGAGAGAGACGGGGAGAATAAGAAGGGGGAGGCGAGCACGAGGGCTGGTCCATCATCCGACCCTCAACCAGCCTTTTCCCAACTGCACAGCTGACTTGTCCCCCCGCTGCCTCTTCCCGCTGATAGGCCCACCATCACGCACTCGCAGCAGATCTGGTCGATCCGTGCCACCCTATTCACCCAAACAAAGAGAGCCTTTAGGAGAAAAATAAAAAGAAAAGAAAAGAAAAGAAGAAAAAGTAACATCATTCTGGTCATAGCCATTCATTAAATTGGTATGGTATGCTACCTAGATAAAACAGGCACATAGCTCACTAGCTACCTAGCTAGCTAGCTTGACATAATGCAGACAACTTTTGGGGTACCAGAAACAGTGAGGAATAATGACAATAACCCCGGAACCATAACCCATTGCCCAAAACAAAAAGCAGTCTAGAAAAACATAGGTATACGTCGGTTAGTACTCTTACACACTGACTTAGAAGGTGACCTTGGTGCCCTTGTACTCGGGGATACCACCGCGAGCCTTGTTGGGGGCACCACCACCACGGCCACCGAAGCCACCACGGCCACGGCCACCACGGTCACCGAAACCGCCACGACCGCCGCCACGACCGCCGAAGCCGCCACGGCCACCACCGCGACCACCACCGCCGCCGCCGTTGTTGGCACGGGGAGTGCTGAAGTCCAGACGCACCGGGCGTCCGAGCAGGTCAGCACCCTGGAGCTCGTTGAAGGCAGCGCGGGCCTCGTCGACGGAGGAGTACTGGACGTAGCCGAAACCCTTGGGGCGGCCAGAGTCGGGGTCGGTGGGCAGACGGATACCGAGGATGCTACCCTTCTCACCGAACAGCTCGCCGACGGAGTCCTCGTTGGCGTCGAAAGGAAGGTTTCCGACGAAGAGGGTGTCACTCTCGGGGCTGGCCTGGTCACCGAAGGAACGGGCACGAGCGTTGGCGCGGTCCTTGAAACCACCCTGCTGGTCCTTGTTGGCGGGACGGCCAGTGGCATAGTCCAGGTTGATGACACGTCCGTCGATCTCAGCACCCTTCTTGGCCTCGAAAGCCTTGGCGGCATCAACGGCGTTGGTGTACTCAACGTAACCGAAACTGAAAGGGTTTAGCAATGGCTTGATAAATATGGAAGACGAAAGTACTCACCCACGGGAGCGGCCAGTGTCACGCTCAGTCATGATACGAACACCGGAGAGCTCACCGAAGCTCTCGAACTCGGACTGGAGCCAGGCCTCATCGACGTTCCAGGACAGGTTACCGACGAACAGGTTGGCGGAAGCACCAGGAGCAGGGTCCTCAGTCTTGGACTTCTTGGGGGTAGCGGAGGTCTCCTCCTCAGCCTTACGCTTCTTGGAGGGCTTCTCGCTCTCCTCAGACTCAGAGTCAGAGTCGGAGTCGGAAGAGTCGGAGTCGGAGTCAGAAGAGTCGGAGTCGGAGTCAGAAGAGTCGGAAGACTCCTGGGGACATTAGCATCAAACTATGAAGTGAGAGGGATGGACAGCATACCTTCTCAGCCTTCTTCTCCTTGGTTTCCTCCTCGCTCTCAGAGTCAGAGTCGGAGTCAGAGTCGCTCTCGCTGGACTCCTTCTTGGCGGCCTTCTTGGGGGCCTCCTCCTCAGACTCAGAGTCGGAGTCAGAGTCAGAAGACTCGGACTCGGACTCGGCCTTCTTGGTCTCCTTCTTAGCAGGCTTCTCATCCTCGGACTCGGAGTCAGAGTCGGAAGACTCGGACTCAGAGTCGCTGGACTCAGCCTTCTTAGCAGCCTTCTTGGGCTCCTCCTTGGTCTTCTTGGCAGGCTTCTCCTCCTCGCTCTCGCTGCTAGAGGCGTCGTTCATCTCCTCATCGCTGTCAGAGTCGGAAGACTCAGACTCAGACTCGGAAGACTCGGACTCGGACTCAACCTTCTTGCCCTTCTTCTCGGTCTTCTTGGCGGGCTTCTCGTCCTCACTCTCGCTGCTGGAGCTGGAGTCGGAGGCCATCTCCTCGTCGCTGTCGGACTCGGACTCGGAAGACTCGCTGGGAGTAGGCTCCTTCTTCTTCTTCTTGTCCTTCTTCTCCTTGGAGGCAACCTCACGAGCAATCTGCTTGCTCTTGGCCTTGGGGGACTGAGAGGACTTGGTCACACCAGCAGACTTAACCTTGCTAAGGGTCTTGTCAACCGGCTTCTCAGAGCCCTTCTTGGTAACGGACTTGGTCTTGGACATTTTGATCTGAAGGGAACAATGATTAGTCCAAGAGATAGCAGACAGGGTGATAGGAAGAAGGGAAGAGACGAACCAAATAAACTGTAAACTAAGCAAGTATACAGAGAAAAGCTAGGAATGTGCGGCAGATCTTATAATCCCACAATCACCCGATTTGTAATGGAAATTTTCAAATACCCACAGGTAACCCACAACGACAGTGTCTAAGCCCACACGAGACGACAGGGAAGCTACCGTCTATGATATGAAACCCACGAGAGTATCCCACAGATCCCACAGAATAGATGTGATATGCTACAGCCCACAGCCCTCAATGCAAGAAGCCCACAGAGTGTCTGTTGAAGCGCACTGTTAGATATGCAATGAAAAGAGATGAACACTTAGTTGAAAAGACAACCAAGTGAAGAAGAGTGATAAAAAATGATGGAAAAAGGTGAAGGGGAAGAGTAGGACAGGAATGAAGGAAGAAGAAAAGATCCCAGCTGGGGAGCAGCTCTGATAAGGCGACTGAACGCAAAAAAAATTTTGGAGGCTGGCAGAAAAAAATCAACATCACCTACCGCCTGCTGCAGCTAGGCTAGCTCAGGAACTAAGTGGGGAACTGGCTGGGAGACTAACCTGACTGGGCCCGACTCCGACCGGTCCTCTCATTGGTCCACCGGCAGACCGTTGGAACCAGAGTGTCCCTCCGCAGTCAACCACATCCAGCCAGTCCACTAATTATCGACTCCAACTACCTGTCATTCATTTGGACCTGTCACGGTTGCTCAAAATTAACACGCAGTCAATGGAACTCTTTTGAATTGGTCCATTGTTCGTGAATCATGGCGCCTCCTCCGTCCTCTTACCGTCCGCGGAAGAAGAGAAAGCTTCCCTCATCTTTCGCCGGCTCTAACAATTCTCTCATTGTTGATGCTGGAGGGAAAGCCTCCCCAGCTTTCCCGTTGGTGTCGTTCCTCTGGTCTGCCCGCGCTGGTGTCTCACAATGGCTCGTGCTACCCTTGATATTGATGGCAGTGGGATTGTTTCGCTGGGCTGTCAGTTTGTGGGGATATTCTGGTACGCAATCACTGCCATCTCCTATACCCAGGCGCCACATACTAACAGTCACAGGCTTCGGAGTACCCCCTATGCATGGTGACTTTGAAGCACAGAGGCATTGGATGGAAATCACGACTCATCTCCCCATTTCCAAATGGTACCTGTACGATCTGCAATACTGGGGGTTGGACTACCCGCCGTTGACTGCATACCACAGCTGGTTGCTTGGAAAACTGTACGTCATGCTGCTCCAATTGGTCGTGGTTATAGACTGACTGAACAGTGGTTCTCTCTTTGATCCCACATGGTTTGCCCTGGACCAGTCCCGTGGCATCGAAGATCCCTTGTTGAAGGTGTTCATGCGCGGAACAGTGATTGCTTCGGAATACCTTGTCTACATCCCGGCCGTCGTTACCTTCCTGCGCCGCTTCACTCGTATGCAGAGCGTTCCGGTTTGGTCTGCTTCAATTGCCCTCACTGCGATCCTCCTACAGCCCGCGACCATCCTCATCGACCACGGACACTTCCAATATAACACGGTGATGCTGGGCTTGGTTGTTGCGAGCTTGGATGCCATCTTGGCTGGACGCATGCTATGGGCCTGCATCTTCTTCGTAGGTGCTCTTGGTTTCAAGCAGATGGCCTTGTACTATGCTCCGGTCATGTTCGCCTTCCTCCTTGGTGTCTGCATCTTCCCCAAGATTCGCCCCCTCCGTCTCATCTGCATTTCTCTTGTCACCCTTGTCGCATTCGCTGTCCTGCTTGCACCAATGCTCATTGGGGCGATTGGAATCGAGGCGCAAGCAACCCTGGCATATGCCCCTCCGCCTCCTCTTCTGCAGATTCTTCCGGTTGAGCTGGACAAGAGTTCCGTGCTTTACGCAGTCATCTTCCAGCTGACTCAGATTATCCACCGCGTCTTCCCCTTTGCTCGTGGTCTGTTCGAGGACAAGGTTGCTAATGCGTGGTGTGCCATCCATACTTTCTACAAGCTTCACCGCTTCGAGGCCACTCTGCTCCAACGCATGTCCCTTGGAGCGACGCTGGCATCCATTGCTGTCCCCTGCGCCATCATCTTCCGTCACCCGCGTGCATCGCTACTTCTCCCAGCCCTGTCAAGTGTAGCCTGGGGCTTCTTCTTGTTCTCATTCCAGGTGCATGAGAAGAGTGTTCTCCTCCCCTTGCTCCCCATGACTCTTCTCCTAGCTGGAGATGGCGGACTAAGTAGAGAGACTCGGGCCTGGGTGGGCTGGGCCAACATGCTTGGCTCGTGGACCATGTATCCTCTTCTGCAGCGTGACGAACTTCGGATTCCTTACTTCGTTATGACTTTGCTTTGGGCCTACCTGTTGGGACTCCCTCCAACTTCGTTTGGAACATTCCGCCGCCGTGCCTCTTTGGAAGACACCACCCCGGGCGCCGAGCTTCATATGCTGACCAAACTTCTGCATGCCTGCTTTTACCTGGCTATGATTGCGTGGCACGTTCTTGAAGCCTTCGTGGCACCCCCTCCTGGCAAGCCGGATCTCTGGGTGGTGCTAAATGCTCTCATCGGTGCTGGAGGATTTGGAATTGCATATCTGTGGTGTTTCTGGAAGCTGATCCAGCAGTGCCGCAGGATCGACCAGAAGGCAGCCGAGGAAACGGAGAAGAAGAACCAGTGAGGTTGCTGGCGGTGATTTCCTTTCAGTCTACTTGATTCTCTCGTGATACCCATTTTGATGTTCGGGACTGCCTTGGGCAGATCTTATCGGCGATAGACTGCGCGTTGTGCTTCTTGCGCCTGGCAGAGATAAAAGCGGTTGCTTAAGCCTTCTCTTCTTACAATATTCCCAGAACATAATGACATAGATAATATACATTTATTGCACAAGAAGGGAGATGCTCCACGTCGGACGATGACCTATACAATACATGTAACCCAGAATAAACCCATAACCGAACACCATATTTGCATGCGCTGAACTCTATGTATCATCCTCGTTGTGCCCTTGTCCCGGCAGCAGTCGGGTATGGTGCAGCTTAGACCTTAAAGCCGTAGCCAGCCATGCAGGCCTTGTACTGCTCGATCAAGGGCTTGCACTCCTGTGTGGGGTCGTCGGTCTTGGAGAAGAGCATGCAGTCATCGCGGGCGGTCTTTTCGGTCTTGCAAACGCAGCATGGCTGTGACTGGGTCAGAACATCTGACTGATTATCTGTGTCGCATAGGTCATGAGCGTACCTTGGGCTTTTCCGCGGGCGCCGACTCGGCAGGAGCAGGGGCAGCAGCCTTCTCAGCTGTTGTCAGGGAGAATTGTCAGCTTTTGTATCACTCCCATATACTAGCGAGACAAGAGGTATGGAGCATGCGGCGAGCATGGATGGGAGATACATACTGTTGGAGGAACCGAACAACCACGACATGATGAAGAAATGGATTCGAATGAAGAAACAGACTCAGTGAAGGACAATGGACAGAGAGCGACAGGATTGACGATGAAAGCGAACAGCAGTCGGAGGCAGAGCAAGACGAAAAGATGCTGAATAATGATGCGATTGCCCGGAAACGACGGATATGGTGTCTGCAGTTCACCGGAGCGGCGGTCGGGGAAAATTTATGGGAACAAACGGAAATAATTGGGTTGTCAGGGGAATGCTGCATCACGGCCCGCTGCTTCATCAAGTCTTTCTTTCTTTCTTCACTTTTTGCCCCTCCACGGTCGCATTGCCTCCCACGCTCATTGTCTTTGCTTTTCCTGCTACTATTTAGCCGTTGCTTACCAGGAACTCCATCGAGTCCTGCTACTTTGATTCTTTTGCACCCTTTCTGTATCGCACTGTGCAATTCCACCCCTGAAATCTACCCCACCATGGCCCCTCCAAAGGTCTTCTCTATCGAGGGCAAAGGCCTCAAGCTCGATTCCGCTGAGGATATCGAGTCTCACATCAAGCCTCTTCTCGAAGCCACCGACTATACTGAGATCCGCTTCGGAGGAAACACTCTGGGTGTTCCTGCTTGCGAGCGTCTCGCCGCTGTGCTTTCTACGCAAAAGAACCTCGAAGTGGCTGAACTTGCCGACATCTTCACCTCTCGTCTGCTGAGCGAGATCCCCGACGCTCTGACTTTCCTCCTCAATGCCCTTCTCGAAATCACCACCCTCCATACCGTCAACCTCTCCGATAATGCCTTCGGCGCCAACACCCAGAAGCCCCTCGTCGACTTCCTTGCTCGCCACACCCCGCTCCGCCACCTGATCCTTAACAACAACGGCATGGGCCCCGAGGCTGGTTCGAACATCGCGAAGGCGCTTACTGAGCTGGCTCAGCGCAAGGAGGAGGCCCGCAAGGAGGGCAAGGAGGTGCCTCTTCTCGAGAGCATCGTCTGCGGTCGCAATCGCTTGGAGAACGGCAGTATGGCGGCTTGGGCACGTGCCTACGAGGTGCACGCTGCCGGCATGCGCTCCGTCAAGATGACACAGAACGGTATCCGCCAGGAGGGTATCTCGATGCTGCTGAAGGATGGTCTTCGCCACTGCTCTGCTCTGGAGGTGCTCGACTTGCAGGACAACACTTTCACCATCATGGGCTCCACCGCTCTTGCTGGTGTGGTGTCCAGCTGGCCCTCTCTCCGCGAGCTCGGTGTCAGTGACTGCTTGCTGTCCGGCCGTGGTGGCGTCAAGGTTGCTCAGGCCCTGGCTGAGGCCAAGAACGAGAAGGTCCAGACGCTGCGTCTGCAGTACAACGAGATCACCGCCGAGGGTGTCAAGCAGTTCCTGCACGCCACCAAGACTGCTCTTCCTGCCCTGCGTCGTATTGAGCTGAACGGTAACATCTTCAACGAGGATGACAACAACGTGACGGAACTGCGCGAGATCCTGGAGGCCCGTCAGGAGGAGCACGGCCAGGACGATGACCCGGAGGACATGTGGGGTGTCGACGAGCTGGACGAACTTGAGGAGGAGGAGAGCGAGGAAGAGGAGGAAGAAGAGGAGGAGGAAGAGGAAGAGAAGGCCGAGAAGCTTGTCAAGGACGACGAGGCGGCCGAGAACGAAAAGGTTTCCCAGAAGAAGGACGACGATGTCGACAAGCTTGCCGACGTGTTGGGCAAGACTGGTCTTTAGACGCGTCGGGGCTTTTTGGTCACATTTTTACCTCGCCCATCCCCTATTCCCATTTTGTCGCCTTGGTGCAACGGCAGTGACTTCTCGCGTGGCAAGAGCTGGATGCATGGTCGTCTAAACGTGTCAGGCCCAGACTGACCGCGTCCGGTCTGCATGTGGCCGGCAGGAGAAGTTTGGAAACGAAAATCCTAATCCAGCCAGAGCACGCGCCTGGTGAAACTGGCTGTTATCTGCCGGGAGGTGTCCTCGCCCCTTGGATAGAAGCAGTGCTTTGCTTTGAGCTTTGATGTTGCCCTATCAGCGATATGCGTTGAGGGTTAGACGTAGACACGAGCCTTGCCCTTTGCTGATCACAACATGTTACTGCCCGTGATGTATATAACGTTTGAACGAATGATGTGCATAGCTATGAGCTTGAGTACGGAGTACGGAGTAGAGTGGAAGTAGAAGAGTCGGTGTAAGTCAAGCCGTGCCACACCACACTAGCACAGTAATGGTCTTAGCTATCATAGCCGTTCTCGAAATATCTATCACTACATCCTTTGATGTTTTTAAATTATAATATGATGATATCCACCGATTTATTCAGTGCATCTGCGGTACTCTCAGGGCAGCCTAAGGCACCAAAGCGTCACCTGCACGTCACCTGAGATGAGATGAGCTCGCAACAATCATCCACCTTTACAGCTTACTGTGATCTTTGTCCTCTAGTTGATGCTACATCCCCTGAAGCAGAATCCCGACTAATGTACCCAATCCAATGAATCCCTACTAACCACGAGCCCCTCCCCTCCCCTCTCCCACCATACACCAACTCCATCTTCCCGCATCCCGCTCACCCAACACCATTCGTTCATCCGACCTAAACCACCCCCATATATAATAACATCCAAACACACACAAACAAACAAACCCAAAGCAAGATGTCCGCCTCCTCCCTCGTAGCCCTCGACTCCCTCGAAGCCACCATCCTCATCGACAACGACCTGGATCCCATGTCCCCCATCCCGCCAGACACAGTAGAAGTGACCGGTCTAATGCGCACGCTAGCAACATCCTCTCCGCACGAAATCCACGACCGGGGTGATGCGCATAAGGAGCTTCAAATGGAGGATATATGCTGCTCTGCGCATGGGTTGTCAATTCTTGTGGTACGCTATACCCCTCCCATTATCTTTTGCCCTCCTCCCTAGATCTTGAGAGTGGTAATGGAAACTAAGAAGAAGCCAGACCGCAACAAAAGACAACAAACAGCACACGGTCCTCTTCGACGCCGGACCTGAAGGCGACGCCTGGGAGAGGAATGTTAAGCGCCTACGGCCGGATTTGGCGGACGTGGAGGTCGTGCAGTTGTCGCATTGGCATCGGGATCATTCTGGTTTGTTTTTACTTCGTCCATTTGAGATAAAGGGTGGTGTGTGTGCTAATTGATAATGCAGGTGGTCTTCAACGAGCCATTGAGATGATTACAGATGCTAAGAAGAAGAAAGCCGGTGGGAATTCCGCTGTAACGGTAGTTGATCTTCACCCTGATCGACCGGATTACAGAGGCATGGCTATTGGACATAATATCATCTCGCTGCAGGCTGATCCCACCTTCGAGGAATTAGAAGCTGCCGGAGGCACGGTGCAGAAACATGCAGATGCGCATACCGTTCTCGATGACTTCTTCTTCATCTCGGGGGAGATTCCTCGACGGACGGGGTATGAGCATGGGTTGAAGGGGGGGATGAGGTTCGATGCCGAAGAGAAGGATTGGTTCTCGGATGAGGGGATTGCCGATGAGAGGTTTTTGATGTGTAGGCTTAAGGGTATGTTATCCATTCGGGTTTGTATTTGATGATAGCTAGTTCTGGGTGATGCTGACTTGATACAGATAAGGGCATAGTTATGTTCACGGCGTGCAGTCATGCCGGGGTGGTTAATTGCGCACAGCATGCGGTGGATTCGCTAGATGGTGAGGTCCCTCTACATGCTATTGTGGGGGGGTTTCATCTTGCTACTAGTGAGACGTCGCAGTTGGAGAGTACCGTTAGGGATCTGAAGAGGTTGGATCCTGCGGTTATCCTTCCGGGGCATTGCTCGGGGTGGAGGGCTAAGTTTGCCATTGAGAGGAGTATGCCGGGGGCGATGGTGCCTTGTTCGGTGGGGATGAGGATTAAGTTTTAGGCAACTTACAGGTTAGTTTATGGTCATGATGGATGTTGTTCTTGGGAAGATGCTAGTCTAGCCTAGGTCTATCCAAGACATCTCCAACAGCAATGCTCAATCGAACAGACATGCCATGGTGAGGACTTATGTTGACTACAAGAATATCTGGGAGTCATTGTATGCTCATTGTCCTGGTTAGTCTACCATGGTCGAGCTTGGAAGAGTATAATGGCGGCAGTCGTGCTGCATTGCCATACGCCCGTTCTTATGGAGGTTCGATATCAAACCACAGATACCCACCATGCTCATTGAAAGTCCGTCTCGGATGATATCGCCAACAGAACGACATCTCTCGCACCAGATCTAAGGACCGCACCCTTCCGCTTGGAGGATGATAACAGACACCCCAGTGACACCGTTGCATCGGCAGCCTTGGTATGGAACCAGGGTCACAGTGCACATGCTGGCGGGAGAGAGGAGTATCGAGGTATAAATATATATATATATATGAGGCCTAGAAGTGCTTGAACATATCATGAATATATATATATATATATATATATATATTTGGCGTGGCACAACCTCGAGCCCGTCTGGATAAGTGTTGGGATTGTATATATATCTGTGCACTGTTAGACTCTTGATACATAGTATATACTACTATCACACAACAGAATCCAGCACTACAATAACTTATAGAACCATATTCCTCAACTAAAACCCACTGCCGTAACCCTCCACATCACACTACAACTGTAATGCATCCACATAACCAACCCAATTCCTCCATTCCACCGACCCGAACACCTCCATCTGACCCATCCATCCATCCATCCACCGCTCACCGACTGCAGTATGATGATGATAGCACAACATGACAACACCACCTCAAGCACGCCAAAACTCAAAACGAAAGCCAAGTACGGGCCCAGCAATTCAGACCGTCACAAACCAAGGGACCAGAAGCAGGCTAGAATGGCTAGAAAGCAGCAGCATCATCACCCATCACTACGGCATACATACATACATACTGCAATGCACATTCCATACCGCCCAGATTCCATCAATGAATATATATCTACGGATGATAATTTGATAGTAAATTGGAAGGTTTGTAATGTCATGCAATGCAGGAAGGAAAATATTGTAAGAGGTTGGGTAGGTAGGGTTATTGTGCATATACTCCTATCTGCTGTACATGAAGATGAAGAGAGGTGGTATGCAGAGGATGGGAATAGAGTTAGAGTTAGCTGGTTAGTTGGTTGGATTCGTGGTGGGAGGTGATTCGCTTGTCTACTGACTTACTCTTCTAATATCTTGTTACAGTTGAGATAGGTCTATTTGTTTTTGGAGATAGAGATGAATGAATGAGTGAGGTTGGGGTATAGGCGCAGCAGCTGTATGTATGGGTGTGTGTGTATGTAGGAAGGAAATTAACATGTCGTGTAACACCATCCATCCATCCATCCATTTACTATTAGTACCATCTAAGCAGTACTGTACGTATTCTATCCCAAACCCATTCTTACCATACATGAAAACATAAATACTGTACACTATGCATCTACCCATATTTCTCATGCTGTATGACGTATCCCTACAGAGCACAGCATGAAAGTGATGACGACCACTTACTATACCTGCCAAGTAAATTGATTCAATTCTCTAAGTAATTCCTCGTTAATCACTTCGTAGTTGATTCCTCTTTTTTACCATTTACGTAGATGCCTATAAACAACCCATCCATCAAACTCAATCTAAGTATATACTGTAGCCTACTAGTCATCTGATCAACCCTGCAGAAGGTTAACAACTACACTTCTCACTGTTGATCACCCGCGACTCAAACTTCAGGCAATGCTGGGCTTGGCTATGCTATGCTGTGCTGTGATTGATGATGATCCCGTCCTTCCCCCTCTCCGCTGGCTGCATTACACTCTACAAGGGAGGAGAGGGGCGGTGCAGGAAGCAGCAGATACGCCCCTTTGCCAAGAACAATAAAAGGGAGGAATGCACGGCAGGGCTTGGCGGGGAGATAAGAGGGGGGAAAGAAAGGGGTAACTTTGTTTGTTTGTTTGGTATGGAGATTATGGAGGATGAGCGATGAACAGATGGGGTTGAGTTATTAGTAGTTAATTTACTTATGGTGTTGGTGATGGTGATGATATGGGGTATGGGGTAAAACTGGTTTGATGAACTGGTGGGAATGTTATTTCTTGTATACGTACTACTTTGTAGTATGTTGTTGGAAGTAGATGGCAGGTTCTTTGTTTCATGGAATGTAATACTAGACAAAGAGATTCTCACTATGTCTTTCTCTACTATTCTTGCTTTCTTCCCTGTAAGCGAAACACGAAGTAAACGACATGCTGTAGTAAGTAGTAGCAACACTCCCGCCAAGCTGCATCACCCGTCATCACCACCACCACCACCTTCATAAACGTCAACACTACACCCGGACAAGTAACTCGTTGCACTGATAACAACAACCACCCAAAATCAAGTCATTTCATTACACTCTATAATTAGTAGGACTACAGACACTGCCTCGCTATCAACCGTGCACATCCCACCCTGGCAATTATTCGCACATCAAAAAAGGGATGAATGATAGACAAAAAACCGCCAAGAAAAAGCCTTGCTGAAGACTGCACATCTCCCGCTTGGCGCAAAACAATCTGCATAACTATTGGCTTGGAAAGGGGGTAAACCTACTACTTACTACTGTAAAAGGGAGTCACGTTTTCGAGGGCGGGTTAAGTTACTTATTTGTTTTTTCGCTTTTTATTTCTTTGATTTTGCTTGGCTGTATGGAGCATTATTCGTGTGATAGTATATCTTGAGTTGTTCGGTTACTAGTAGTACGTAGTACCTCATTTTAAAATATTGATTACACTTTCTTCATTTCCTAAATTACAGCAATGATTTCTCGCTTAGATGCCATCTTGGCAAATGTAGATAGCCAGAGCAAGAAAGGCAGCCAGCCAGCCAGCCAGCCCGCCCCTGATGAACTGTCGATCTGATATCATTTTTCCACATCAGCATCACTCCGCACTCACCATCACATCAGGGATACGATACCATTCATGTATCCTCACTCGGCAATTACTTCCTCAAGTAACCTTATTTCATTGTTATGATCACTTGAGTTCAAGAAACTCTATCCATCCTGCCAAGTAGTAACTACTGTCTCACGACCTTGCCCGTCGGACCCTCTTAAAAACGGAGTCGGAGTATATTAGGATATCACATCAGACATACTTACTCCGTAGTCACGGACCAGAGCGGTAAGTTAGTGAGTAAATGTCCATCTGACATCATATGCAGGTAACTACCTACCTAAATGATCGATTCTTCACACATCTAGAAGACGGATAGTTATATCCGTAAAAACTCAAACCACATCGATCTACATCATTATTATCCTCCCTCCCCTTTTAGATGATATGATACAATAACTTCCCTTAATGTACGTATGTATAATCTCCGTCTATAATTTATCCATGTGGCTACTGCATCATCATCTTGTCCGTTCGATTAACCTGCCCCTTTTGGTTATATAAGGGTAGGTGTGGGTGTGTGGGTGTATCAGACAATGATCCGATAATTAAACTTCAAGTAAAACATGGCATGTGAGTCGAGGGTGGGATGATGGAGATGAGACAAAACAAGACAGATACTAGAAGAGTCGGTCAGATCATCGATACTTATTCTTCCTTGGGTATGATGTTGATCGATGGTACCTACTTCTGATTGATGCAAGAAGGGGTACCTACATATGTATTGGACAGAGGATGTAGGCACGGGACATATACTGAAACAGGGTGATTGAAATCAGGGTCGGAGCAGAGACTGCTGCTGCAGTGTGCTGCAGAGAGACATGAATGGTTGTTTTGTCTTGGATATACTACACCTACCCCTACTTACTACTACTACAGTCTACTGGCATACTTCTGTAGATTGTATATAGTATCAAATGTACATTGCGGGGTGACCAAACCTGCACAAAAGTACGCAATACATATATAGTAAACACCCAGGTACGGAGTACTTAATTAGACATAATAATCCATGCTGGTGATCCCTTGGCATCGATCCCAACACACTCAAGCTGTAGGCTACTACGAGATACTACTACGTTTGGCAACAAAGTTAAACATGTATCAGACAAACCACCACACCCAATAGACATGAGACATCACCACCACCACCACTACTACAGTACGTATCCCTACCCAACCCTCCCTCCCTCCATCAATCAGACACGTCTCCTCCAAAAAGCAACCCGACAAATTTATTCCCTCACATCAGCCTTACATCCATCGCTTCACACTCCCGACACTCTATTCCGGAAAAATTCTTCACACCCAACATTGAACAAGAACATTCGGTCCAGTACCACGGTTCATACCCGACAACAATTCAACCATGGAAAAGGAGGGCAGCAGACTGGGGGGGATGGATAAAGTAAAACGCCTGAATGGATGGATATGAACGGGCGAATGTATGATTGGAGGGGGGGTAAAACCAAACTCTGGATTACTGGTGGTGTCTTTGTCTCCAAAACGGCGCGCCCGTGCCGATTCCCGTGTCGCGTAGTTAGTCCAGACCCGTTAGCAGTTAGTTACCACCCAGTAAAATAGTACTACGTACTAGAACTTCGGCGACCCTGACTACTGAGTGGGAAGGGCGGAATATGCCGAGGAGAAAGGCCGACAAGGCAAGACATGGCATTTGCTCATACGCGCCGAGTTGAGTGAGGGATAATGGTGATTCCACCACCCACTCAATTTCAATTCACGCACTCATTTAGGGCTAAACTTACTTGGGTGGGGAGTCGTGTGCGTGAGTGAGCGCATTTGCAGCGCAAATGGCGTTCCATTACCCCCAGGGTGGGCTTGTCAGCCCGGCAGTCACTTAAGTAACTAATCTATTTTGTCTGGTGGGAGAGCTGCACGAGGAGGGGTAGCTAGTTAGTTAGCTAACTAGTAAGCTATTTGACACAGATAAGCTGGGCTGGTTGTTGCGTTGCGAGTTCGGTATCCCTCCATCTTGTCCTGCCGATATCCGTTCCAGACCCGGTCGTTTTGGACTGTTCCATGTCTACTGATTGACTAACTATTGGGTTCTCGCTTCCACCAGGGTATTCTTCCCTATCGGTAGCTAATTGTCCATGATGCAGTCAGTAGTTGTCACCGGTCGGCCCATGATAGGCAGGGAGCGACCTGAAGCATCTAGTGCTATCGATCCGGCTTGCCGCGCTTCATCGCTATCTAACTAGTCCATCTAGACTGGATATCTAGCTATGTCCGGAAAATAGCTCTCTGCATCGAAACTCTGCAGTCTAACTCTAGTTCTAACCAATTTCGCCGACCGTAGCTTACTTCCAAGACTGGCCAACAGCAAAAGTCGCCCAGGTACGGACGGGCAATAATTCCCCGAGTCGGGGAGGGCTCGGGCTAAACCCGATCCAAGCATACGCACAGCAGCCCGGAAGAATAACCAAGGGCAATTGCACTGCTACAAAGCAACGAAACTAACTAACCGATTTATCGGATTCTGCTGGTCACTGGGCAGAAGCAGTTCTGCAAAGCACGGCGCGTCATCAATAGATGGTGGGTTGGCTGCCACGGTGGCACGCTGGGGCGCGCGCGTGCGGGTGCGGAATGGAAATGAGGTTAGAAAATCTCTCATACAAGCCAGCAAGTCTTCTCCGGAGGTGTCAAAAAGGTAAGGACGATAAAGCTCCTGCAGTAGCTCTTTAGTGGTTGTCGTCAGAGCGTTGGAGCTCGGCGAGGTTTGAGAAACGTACGCAGCCCAGCTAGCTGCTTTGTAGCTAGACTGGTATCGAGCTACTGAGGGTAATTGGAGCGGGCTAAAATTGCGCTGCTGCTACTAATATCCAGCATCTGTTGCTGCTGGGGACGACGGCTGACCCGTTGACGAATGACGATGGCGCATCCTCGTACTCGATTGGGATCTCCGATGAACAGTCGGAGCTTCCTCCCGCCCGTGGGGGCAGGTACATACGTGTAGCTGTGAGTAGTCAATGGTCAAGGACTGTCGTCCCCTCCCACTACTAATTGATTAGTCGTCATCATCGTACTGCCAATGCTGCAATAGCAATAGTATCCTCGATAGTATGATACTTTGCAGGAGGATAGTACTATCCATCGAACACAACACTTCTTGGTGCTCTTGGCAATGGTGCTGGCAGGCACGAGCATCTCCATTTGCAAAGGCGTTGTGCGGTCGATGTCCGCTACTGCAGTAGGTACCTCGACCGCGGAGGTCCGATGCGCGACTGGGATGTTGAATGGAGGAGGGTGCTTACTGCTGCTATCCTTGAACCTCGGGTGAACGAGGGCAGACCAGGGCCGACAGAAAATCCCTCACCAGGATCCTCGATGAGACAGCTTGGCACGGGCGATCGCCCGGTGGGGGGAAGGGAAGAGAAAAGGCAGGCTCGCGGCGAGTTGGGACCGCGATTAGTATCATTATTGGGGGCCGCTAACTGTATTCGCAATTAACGTCGGTGAAGTGGGAGGAATTGGCCCCGTTACCGCGCTGAGTCGATGGAGTGACCAATTGACTAGCCGTCTAGTCTTGGTCACTACTGTAGGTACCAGAAAGCCAAGAACGAGCCTAGCGGTATCTAGTGGGTGCTCCACGGACGCCCCGTGGTCGTGATCGCATTTTCGAGGTCATTTGTTCGTGCTGCTGCTTTCTTTATGCACCGATTGACGGAACAATTGCCGTTGTGCTGAACCTGTATTACCTAAGGTCGTATCTCTACCTGCAAGTAGTCTAGTTAGTGATGAAGATAGAATATAGTAAAGATTACGAGGTGTAAGCCATGACTTCTTGTCATACGGGCCAACACGCGCCGTCATCGTGCGGATAATTGTCTCACCCCCGTCATCTATACACGGCTCGTACGAGAGGGTCGGCCGAAAGTGGTTTAGCATCCTTACGGGTAGCCGACCTTATCCCGAAGGGGAATTTCGTTGCCCCCATCCATTAGCCAACACACTGGCCTGACTGACTACTGACTGTGCTTTGCGAGTCCCTCAAAGAGAAAGCCACCAAAAGTCGCATTAATTATTGGCAAATTGCCCCAGAGGCCAAAATCAATAATAAGGACAATCCCACCAACACTATGACTTTACCCGATTTCCCTATCGGACTGCCGATTATGACGTAGCACCTACTCTCCCCATCTTCCCGGTGGCCATGACCCCTCGACAAATCCCAATTCAGTGTCCCCTGCTGCCGACATCCGATGTGCCATGTCAGCCCCAGAAAAATTCTCTGATCTCGAACCCTCACCCCAAAATTTCGGAGCGGCAAAAACCAAGAAGAATCGTCTGGACAATGAAATGCAGCTAACTGGCTCCAAGGGCCCCAGTCGAAGCCTTCTAGAAAACGTCGAGAACGGCGAATCTGCGGGTTCGATGCGGTCAGAAGGTCCTTGTTGCCCCTCACTTTTTTGGGGCCTTGCATTCGGCTGGTCCGGTGGCGACCAGTCAGTCGAGTCCCAAGTCAGTTCCTTCCCGACTGAGTATGGCGCTACTAGTACCACTACTACGGAGTACTACTGTGGACAAATCTCGGGCCCCTCCTCCAACAATCAATCAATCAATCAATTGCCCTGATAAGCCCCATTACTAAGGTATTTTAGTCCGCGCTCGGGGAAGTGCGGGCTAGTCACTTAGTCTAACCCGTAGTGGGAGTTAGCCTCCTACTATCTACTCCGTACTCCGGTCTACTACTCCGGACTTTGGCAGTGGCGCGCCCGCACGGTATAGCCTCACTTTTCTCCAATCTGTATGGACTATGGCTCCATTGCGGGATATAATATCATGCACTATTGTGTGGTCATCCATCACTATGAGGCGACTTGTGACTGATTGATTTCTCCATATTGTCCTTTGTACAGTCATGATAGACGACGCGGGGAGGGTCTCGGTCTCGGTCTCGGTCTTTCAATCCACACCGGCAATACCGATGACCTTCTTTGACCGTTCTCGAAACCCTTTTTTTTTTGTTGTTGTTTCTTTGGTTGCGATCATGCAGAATGCTTGCTTGCTGCTGGGTTGGCATCCCTCACGTGTCCCCTGTCTCCATGCATTGTTATGTAGGGCTCCACGTCCGGAGTAAGTAGGTATGGTACATAGGTACGTAGCTCGATTCACCTTCCCGAAGGGAAAGTTCAGTCAATATTAGTATGAGCAGTTTAGTATCATCTAAGTAGATTAACTAACGACGACAACGGACAACGCCATATCTCATTTCAGCCCAGCTGTCAGAGAACGGTTTCAATGAACAAAACAAAGAGATACTCTAACTAACTACGGAGAGCAGGACCAAATAACCTCAAACCCTGATACAAAGGTCCCAAGCAATAAGAAAGAAATTCGAAACAACCCCAAACCCCAAATATCGACAACGAAACGACCATCACCATCACCACCAACGAACCAAGAACGATTACCATCACCTCCCATTCTATGGTTCAGGGACAGACAGACGACAAGCGACAGCAGCCAGAACTGACATCCCGACCGAGAAACACTCGCCCTCAACCCGTTCCACGGTTTGCGTGTGTGGGGAGCTTTTTTGCAACACACACACTTAGTAAGGTTAGCACACTTCGGGAAGTTTGAAATTTGGTAAAAGGTACTTTCCCGACTAGGCGAGGTACCAGGTACTAGTGCGGTTTTAAAAAACACGAAATGGGGGGGACACACACACACACAGGTCTCTCTTATTTCCACGCGCCCGCCCATACCACTCCGGTGAGTGGGTGGGTGTGTGTGGGTGCTCCACTTCGGCTAAGAAGGTAAGTAATCCTGAATTGGGACTAGTGTGACGGAGAATCCAGGTACTGGGATTGCGGGTTTTTGGTTCTGAAATATCCACTTTGGGGTTTTTTTATCTAAAAGTATCTCATCTCTCTATCTAGTTAGCTACAGTTAAGTATATTCGTGGGATTATTATTTACTCTCCAAGTAATCTATCTATCTAGTCTAACTGTGTAGAGCAATGGAGAAAATGAGTTTGGTTTAGTGCACTCCACGATAGCTACCTTTCACTGACTAAGTAGTTTACTACTGTTGGCCTTGGCCCTGACTTTTGGTCTGGTCTTGGCCTTTGGGGAAAATATGGGATGAGATGGGATGGGATGGGGTAAAATGGGACAACACATAAAGGGGTGAACAGTGTGGGATGTGGGTTGATGACTTCCTTTCTTTCTCCATAGTAACTTAACAACTCCTCCCCCTCAGCTGACCTTCTATGGGGCCTCTCCCCCCCTTTGAACCCCAGAAATAGTAAAGTAGCATAGATACTTAGGATCCTGTAGTTTGGTATTTTCCAGATGGCTGGGGGGTTTCGGTTTTCGAGTCTTGGCTGACGTGGGTTGTTGTTGTGTTTTTGTTTTGCATACCGACCCTGCCTTGCCTTGCCTTGCTGCCCCAGGTTCAAGTTCAGGCCTACTAAGTAAGTTCCCCTTATCCCTGTAATAATACCGGGCAACGGTGAGATTCCCCCGGAATTCTGATCACCATGGACTGCATCCGGATGGTGATGATGATTTGGGGGCGGTTGGGTGGTGCACGGGCTGTACACAGTACTAATTGCGTATGTACAGAGTATGCTATCTTACTCATTACTCGAGGAGTTAGCTAATGGTAGTTATCAGTTCAACCATAGTAGTAACCGACAATGGTAGCATAAACGGGAATAGCATCATCATCACCATCACCATTACTACTACAACATGGGATACCTTTCCATTCGTCAGGAACATAACAACCCGACGGCGAAACTTCCCCCGTGAGGGAATCTCCCTATGCCCTATCCCATCCAGAATCATCATCCTACCGATGCAAGTAACTTAACCACCCAAACCGCGGAAACCGCTCAATCGGCCCCGTCGGGCGAGGCGAAACCAAACCACCCACCCTCCCAATCCCTTAACAAACCTCACTAACCAATCTAAGTAACTAACTTAAACCCCGGTGTACCTAAGTGAGTAGCACCGGAACTATCATATCATATCTGAATTAGGTATAACTCATCCTTCTCCTCCATCATTCATTCATTTCGAACTCCGGGATTAAACTTCGGGCTTCTGTTGGCTTGCTTGCTTTGCTTTGCTTTGCTAGGGCCCAGGGTAAGTGCGTAGACTAAGGTGAGCGTCACGGTGAGAGAATGCAGTAGATGAAGCGGGATTACCCTCCGTAGGTTAGTGATGATGCTACAGTAAACTTGCATGTGGTTTTGAGTTAATTTTATGGTAAGAGGTAGAGTGTTATTTTATTTTCCCGCGGCTGATCAGTTCAGTTCAGCTCAGCCCAGTTAGACCTTACCTAGCCATTGATACAGGTAGATAGATAGATAGTGTGTGATTTAAGTGATGATGTTCAGGTCATCGGAGCAAAGGGAAGGGAAAACAGGATGAATCCGATCCGCGTGAAAAGGAAAAATCTCACTGACCCCATGCCATGCCATGCCATGCCATGGTTTTCTCTTGCATGTGTACGGTCGCCTTTTCAGAGCTCTCTCATGTTGGTTGGGGATGGATGGATGGATGGATGGTACGGCAACCATTATGTGATGTGATGGATGAATGGGGCGCGAGACCGCCCGCCCGATGAAATACTTTACCTACGGGAGTTGCAGTAAGTGTAGTATTCTGCAGGTATGGTTGGGCGGATGGGATGTCTCCTCCCTCCTCCTCCACAAATATCATCGGGTTTAATCCCGCCCGCGTCTGGGGTTGGATGGATGGATGGATGGATGGATGAATGGATATGCGTTATTTGGTTCAGGGCTTTCTTTCGTTCGGACTTGGGTGGGAGCTGAGTGCGGGCGGTATCGATCGAGACCCGGTCGGGATGACGGTGAATCCCATCCCCATCATCCTACTGCTACTACTCAGCACGGAGTAAGTTGGGTGGCTTAAAGTTGAACCCTTTTACATTCCGAAGCCCTTTTTTTGTATTTGTTTGGAATAAGCAAATAGTTTCTATCGTCCGAGTAGTTAGAAGATTACTACATAGTACTGTGTATATTCATCCCACTGGTCTTCACATGGTATATAATAGATGGGGAGTGAGGTAAGGCTGTATATCACAATAGAGTGGTCAATCTCGAGCCTCAAATTGATGGGATATATATTATGGAGAAAGAAGGGATCATCGAAGAAAATACTACTAGTCGAACCCATCAACTCCGAGAGATGCTATTCTACAACTAGTAGAGCCAGCCAAGAACAATTATCGCCAATGTTACTCCGTAGATACCATACGTAGTTGCATCACTCTGAATCGCCCACGTAGCGTAGCGGAAAGCCGAACCTACTTACTTACACTACTAAGAATATCTACGGCGTTTGCTTGGAGATAAACCCCATCATCCGGATTCGGACAGCAGCAACTAACCAGCCCAACCACCGAAAAAGAATGTGGAGGAGGAGAAAGGCAGAACAAGAACAAGGATACCGTAACCCGACAACGGATCACCATCTTGGCAAAACTACCGAAAGGGCCAAAAAACAAAATAGACTCATTTAAGTATTACCCTGGGAGTGACTTGAGTCCAAGACAAGCCTTATGCGCGCTGAAAGCTTATGAAGTGCGGAGGAAGAAGTCACGAACATGGGAATTCCCTGTTTATCGGCGACACCATCATCGAACGGAAGAAAAAAGTCTAATAGCGAGAAGGCACTGGAAAACAACTGGAACAATCATCGATGGATGGATGGATGGTTAGTTAGTATGTACGTTGTCAGGCGATCTGGGGCGCAGCGCCCGGACGCGGGCTACGTGGTTGTGGATTAATGCCGTGCATGCATGCATATCTTTCTTCCTTTTCTCTTGTCAGACAAGCCATTTTCCAATAATCACAAGTACTATGCAGTTTTTTTTTATTCCCTTCGGGACTTCCGTGTGTATCCCTAGAGGGAGTATAGATTGCTTTTCCTGGGAATTCCGGAGAGATCCTGATTTGTCTGGGCTGAGCTGGGCTGATGGGAAAATGGCGCGTTTCTTTTTAGTAGTACTACTACTGCTAGTGGTTTGATTTGCTTTGCTTGACGGTATCGAATAGATAGATGGTCTGGGCTAACTACTCATTATCTGGAGAAGAAGCACGGGTAGAATCGGTAGAAGGAGGAGGGAGAGAATTGGGCTGGCTGGTAAGGTTAACATGATAGACGCAACCAGTTGCATCCATCTGGAAGGGGAAACGATGTAAAAATCTTGGTTCGCTGGGGTCGTGGCCATGCATGCATGCTTCCCACATCCTTCCAAGCCAACCTGTCAACCAGATGGCGTCGTAGAAAAAACGCCCAGGAAAAAAATCGAAAATCGAAATCGAAATCGAATCGAGCAAGATTGGAATAATGTCGCAACGTGCTCTGTACAATGGGCGGCGGCGGCAGCGGCAGCAGAAGCAGCAGCAGCAGCAGCAGCAGGGTTATCTGCGGAGACCATCTGGAACTGGGGTTTCGGTATGGTATGCGATCAGCCTTGGCCACAGATGAAGTCACCGTATATACGAAAACGATCAATGCCCAGACGAGGCTATTATGGCTACTATTGTTGTATCATGAAACTATATTGCTGCGCTCATTTCATTATTACTGCTGCTACTGCTGCTGCCAGACTTGGCTAATCAATAATGCGACGATAGCAGGGCCGAGAGTAAGGTAAGTAATCTTACTCACTTGATAGCAAGACCAGACCAATGATACGGGTCCCCCAGCAACAATGGGAGCAAATAATCCCAGACTGGAGTCCCGAGTACCTAGCCGGCGGAGTCGCATCCCGACGTCAACCAGTCAGACAAAAATGACGCTCTCCGATGGAGCCCATGGCTCCCCACGAGAGGAAATCGGATGAAACTCAATCAGGGCTAGATGCATGGGATTGGCGCGCCGTAAATAAGGAGGGTGGAGAGCAGCACACCTTCCACTCCCCTCCCCCGTCGTCACACGCTCACAGGATGGGATGGTTGGAAAATGGTGGACGATCGACTCCAGGTTGGCATTAGTGCGAGATTTCGAGAAACAATCATCATCATAATAATAGCGATGCTAATATGAGAGGGACAGAGAGAGACTGAGCGAGAGAGGAAGAGAAGGAAGGGGGGGGCCACAGCGAGGCGCGTGGGGACAAACTCGGGAAGTGCGTAGGCGGAAGATAACGAAGGGTGCGATTCGCAATGGTAATTGCATGGTAATAATAATTATTATTATGGGATGGCAATCAAATCATCCCATCCATTGACCATTCATCCATCCATCTCACCGATAACAAATGATCGCACAGGAGAAATAATCCTGATGACATAATTCTGAATTTGGATAAGGGACGGGGCAGCTGTTTACTTTCTGTGTAGTGTGTACGGCTCATTCTGACCTAGATACCTACTTCCACTTACTTTCCTACTAACCTTCTACGGGGCCGCGCACCGGGCGGGCAATGGAGTCAGTTCCCGAGTCGGCACGATCATCACCACCATGAATTCATCATCATTTTACTTACTCTTCATTTCCTCCCCGAGACACGGTCAATCGGCACCGTAATGGGAACTCAAAAACGGATCGTCTGACAGCACCGACCACGGCCACCTACGACATGCGACGATGATGTCAGTTAATTCCGTAGACTGAAGAAAGAATCGAAAGAATCGAAGAAAACGTAGTCAATCGTAGGGAGTAAGTAGACTATCTATCTAGCTGAATTGTTTTGACCCTGCATGGCCGGAAATGGTATCATCCAAGTTCTTGGAACTCGCCCCTTGCGTTCCCGTTTGGCTCAGCTCGTGGTTCCAAGATCGGGTAGGACGGCCCTGGCTCTGCTACTCTGTGGTACAGAAAAACCAGTCATTCCAGCGCTTCACGATCGGAGTATTTCGCAGCAAGTAAAAGAGAGACGCTGATTCATCTCTTTAGTTAGGTAGTAGTTAGATAGTGTATGTATGTCTCGTCTGTAGCGGGCCTTGGTTTTCCTCAGATCATGTCCCTTTCTATCCCTCTTGTGGGCAGAAGAAAAGAAGGGTAACGATCATTTCTTTTCTGCAAGGGAACTACTGAAACTATGAAGTCCGATGTCATCGCAGTGCGCCAGGTGCTACGGAGTACACAGAAGGAATATGCCAATGATTAACACATAGAGGGTCTGATAGTGTGTATGTGTTATGTATGTATGTATGTGTCCCTTTCTTTCTGTCTCCTTCTATCTACCCTTTAAATTTTTTTTGATTCTTCTCTGTTGGTCTCGGCCAGACAATGCCGATTGACTTACCAACAAGCAAATAGCATGATTAGGATGGGTTATTACTATTACTCTCATCAATCGCGAGGGTCAAAAGGCGACGAGAAAAATCGCGCATAGTAAAGAGAGCGAGAGTAGGGAAAGGATCAGGAAAATTAACGAGGGCCACCACCCGCACGCGGCAAAAAGACCATTCACACGGTACAGTCCGTACGGTAAGGAATTCTTTTCCCAAGTGGAAAAAGAGAACGGCCCTGGGCTGGCCGAAAGGCCGACAGAGCCGTCCTCTGTCGGCTCTCGTACCCGTATCTTACCAGTAGCATACCTCAGGTCCATAGTGAGCTCCGAGGAAATAGAGACAAGCTCCTCCCGACCAGTGTATCGGGTGCGTACGGGGAGTCCTCATCCTTTCTTGTTCTCTCCCCAGAATTTACGGTAGGGGAACGAGCGAGAGTGGAGGAGGGAGGGGAGAGGGGGGGCGAACTCGGCACAGCGCTGCCGGTCATGGAGCAGAGCAACAAGAAGCCATTCAGTAAGAGATCGAGACAGACTGACTGGTAAAGGCGAACGGCGTAAGATGCCGTATCATTGGGTGACCGTCTGGGAATAGTCAGAGTTTTTCCACGGCCCAGACTAGGCTCGATCCGGGAGGTGGGATCCACTTGGCAAACTGGGCTGGGCAACCCAGACAAGGTAATGGAAACGGGAAAATGAAAAACAAAAAATAAATAATCATCTGAAATTCACTCGGCACTAGCGATGCGTCGGGTTAAGCAGAAAAATGTGTGTGCGTGGGAGGCAAAAAGCGGGTCCCAGTCACAACCTTACCTTACCAGGGACAGCGAACTTTCGATCAAGTGGCTACTGCTGCTCCCGGCCAAGACTAGACCGAGTTGGAGAAAATTAAATGAAGTAAAAAAGAAAATGAGAGAAAAAAGAAAAACGGAAAAACGGAAAATCAAAAAATAATAAAATGGAGGAAGGCGAAAAAAAAAAAAAAAGTGGGCTTACGCACAGGGAAGGTCGCCCGTTGGAGCTTAGAGAAGACAGACGTGTTTGTCTGGTCCCGTGCAATTGAAGGCTGCCCACCCCCAAATATTAAAGAGTACATTCCCTCCCTTCGCTCCCCTCTCTTCTTCTTCTCTTCTTCATAGGACTATCCGACTCTTGCCATTCCCGTCATTTTTTGTTTGCGTCTGCTCATATCGTTGGGTTCGAAGGCTGTGTGAGCCGTAGCAACAATGGCGGAGCGGAGGATTTCCTATGCTCCTGACGTGGAGAATGGTGACCATTCTCGCGCCCCTCAACTTGATGATGGTGCTGGTCTCGACGAGTATGCCGCTTTGAACCGTTACATCTCGACCGCCCCCGACAAGCGCCGCGGTTCGACTGCCAGTGCCGGTGGCGTGAGCGCCGGCAAGAAGAAGAAGGGCTTCTCCCTCTTCGGCAAGAAGGGTGATGGCGTGGAGGATGGCTTCGTCTGCCCCGATGACTGGCTCGAGACCGACATGCGCTCCGGTCTGCGCTCCAGCGACATCGAGCCTCGTCGCAAGCGTACCGGCTGGAACGAGCTGACCACCGAGAAGACCAACTTCTTCGTTCAGTTCATTGGTTACTTCCGTGGTCCTATTCTTTATGGTAAGGCAATCGACTCTGACAGGACATGGGTGAGATACTAACAGTGCTATAGTTATGGAATTGGCTGTCCTTCTTGCTGCTGGTCTTCGTGACTGGATCGATTTCGGTGTCATCATTGGTATTCTTATGCTTAACGCTATCGTCGGTTGGTACCAGGAGAAGCAGGCTGCCGACGTTGTCGCTTCCCTCAAGGGTGATATTGCTATGAAGGCCATCGTCATTCGCGATGGTCAGGAACAGGAAATTCTTGCCCGTGAACTGGTTACTGGTGATATTGTACGTATATCCCATGTCTTATCACCTCTGTCAGCACTGTCTAACCTACTTCTCAATAGATTGTCGTCGAGGAAGGTACCGTCGTTCCCGCCGATATTCGCCTGATCTGTGACTACGACAAGCCCGAGAACTTCGAGACCTACAAGGAGTACCTCGCCACCGTTGGTGACGACACCCTTAAGGAGAAGGAGGATGAGGACGACGAGGATGGTGGCATTGAGGCCCGTGCCGGTGTCTCCCTTGTTGCCGTTGACCAGTCCGCCATCACTGGTGAATCTCTCGCTGTCGACAAGTACATGGCTGACACTTGCTACTACACCACTGGTTGCAAGCGTGGTAAGGCCTACGCTATTGTCACTGCCACCGCCCGCCACTCTTTCGTCGGTAAGACTGCTGCTCTCGTCCAGGGTGCCCAGGACCAGGGTCACTTCAAGGCTGTCATGGACAACATCGGTACCACCCTGCTCGTCCTTGTCATGTTCTGGATTCTCGCTGCCTGGATCGGTGGTTTCTACCGTCACCTCAAGATCGCTACTCCCGAGAACGAGGACCGCAACTTGCTCCACTACACCCTGATTCTCCTGATCATTGGTGTCCCCGTCGGTCTTCCCGTCGTCACTACCACCACCCTCGCTGTCGGTGCTGCCTACTTGGCTGAGCAGAAGGCTATCGTCCAGAAGCTCACTGCCATTGAGTCCCTTGCTGGTGTCGACATTCTCTGCTCTGACAAGACTGGTACCCTTACTGCCAACCAGCTCTCCATCCGTGAGCCCTACGTCAACGAGGGTGTTGATGTTAACTGGATGATGGCTGTTGCTGCCATTGCCTCCAACCACAACATCAAGAACCTCGACCCCATCGACAAGGTCACCATCATGACCCTCCGTCGCTACCCCAAGGCCCGTGAGATTCTCGCCCGCAACTGGGTCACCGAGAAGTACACTCCTTTCGACCCCGTCTCCAAGCGTATCACCACCATCTGTACCTGCGATGGTGTCCGCTACGTCTGCGCTAAGGGTGCCCCCAAGGCTATCCTCAACATGTCCCAGTGCTCTGAGGAGGAGGCCGACAAGTTCCGTGAGAAGGCTGCTGAGTTTGCTCGTCGTGGTTTCCGTTCCCTCGGTGTTGCCGTCCAGAAGGAGGGTGAGCCCTGGCAACTGCTGGGCATGTACCCCATGTTCGACCCCCCTCGTGAGGATACCGCCCACACCATCGCTGAGGCCCAGCACCTTGGTCTGTCCGTCAAGATGTTGACTGGTGATGCTCTTGCCATTGCCAAGGAAACCTGCAAGATGCTTGCTCTCTCTACCAAGGTCTACGACTCTGAGCGTCTGATCCACGGTGGTCTTGCTGGCTCTGCTCAGCACGACCTCGTTGAGAAGGCTGACGGTTTCGCTGAGGTCTTCCCCGAGCACAAGTACCAGGTCGTCGAGATGCTCCAGCAGCGTGGTCACTTGACTGCCATGACTGGTGACGGTGTCAACGATGCTCCCTCTCTCAAGAAGGCTGACTGTGGTATCGCTGTCGAGGGTTCCACTGAGGCCGCCCAGGCTGCCGCCGATATTGTCTTCCTTGCCCCCGGTCTGTCCACCATCGTCGATGCTATCAAGCTCGCTCGTCAGATCTTCCAGCGTATGAAGGCCTACATTCAGTACCGTATTGCTCTGTGTATCCACCTTGAGGTCTACCTTGTCACCTCCATGATCATCATTGACGAGACTATCCGTGCCGATCTGATTGTCTTCATTGCCCTGTTCGCTGACTTGGCCACCATCGCCATTGCCTACGACAACGCCCACTACGAACAGCGCCCCGTCGAGTGGCAGCTGCCTAAGATCTGGGTTATCTCCATCATCCTCGGTATCCTTCTGGCTGGCGCTACCTGGATTATCCGTGCCTCCCTCTTCCTCACCAACGGTGGTATCATCCAGAACTTCGGTTCTCCCCAGGAAATCCTCTTCCTTGAGGTTGCCCTTACCGAGAACTGGCTCATCTTCGTCACCCGTGGTGGTAAGACCTGGCCCTCTTGGCAGCTGGTTGGCGCCATCTTCATTGTCGATGTGCTCGCCACCCTGTTCTGTGTCTTCGGCTGGCTCTCCGGCGACTACCTCCAGACCCACCCCGTTGACCGTGCCGACTTCTCCATCAACGGTGATGTCGACATTGTCACCGTCGTTGTTCTCTGGGGTTACTCCATTGGTGTCACCATCATCATCGCTGTGGTGTACTACCTCCTTTCCAGCATCCCCTTCCTTGACAACCTTGGTCGCAAGACCCGCTCCCGCGCCGACACCCAGATCGAGAACCTGCTTGGCCACCTGTCCAAGCTGGCCATCGAGCACGAGGTCGACGCCCACGGCAAGAGCCGCTACATGCTGGGTGCTCGCGCCGAGGTCGAAGAGGATGAGTAAACGCTTGATTGCGCTCCTTAATACCATCCGACCTGGATATCACTTGCTGCGCATACATGCATGAGCTGGAATTCCGGCTACCCTTTTTACCCGTATTATAGACTTTTTTTTCCTTATTACCTTGTCTCTACTGATAGAGTCAATTTCTTTTCTTTTTACATGTATGTATGTCATTAATAGTGGTAAATTTAGTCAATCAAGGGTTCAATTAATACATCTTCCACTGTAACTATTCCATAATTTTAATCTTCAACCACACGACCTTTGGATTCTTACGAAATCAATAATCAAAGTGCGCTCACTGCCGACCACTTAGCCGAACCAAACCAAACCGAACCACCTCAGCCCTGACCTGACCTGACCTATACCACGGTCCACCCATCGGACCAAGTTCTGGGTGCAGTGGACCCCGGTAAATTGGAGTCAGGGGCACCACTTCACTCACCATCTTCTCGGTTCCCGTTTCACCTGCGCCCGTTCGGACTCCGGCCGATAGCTAGACAGCCAGTTGCGTTGCGTTGCACCTCACACAGGCATTCGGCCCTCGACACCGAACATACGCGTGTGTGAGAGAGAGCTTGAGTGGATCCGAGCTATTGAGTCGGGTGAGACGAGAGGAGACTCGTATTGCGCCTATCAGTCGGCTTGTACCTGCCGAGTCAGTCGTCGACTAATTGGTCGGCTGGCTTGTTGGATACGTTTACGAGAGGCCGAGGTAGTCGTAGATTCGTATATGACGCTGGTCTAATTGGCCTCGTGTCGATGGGGAGGTGTAATTTACCGATGGATGGATGCGTTGATAGTGTGATGCACGGATGGTGTTTGTGCGCTTTACTTGTGCATTGGTGTGGTGGTGGTTGTAGGTATGTAGTTAGGGATGCGCATTGTGCTTGTGCAGGGTGGGCGTGCATTGCTGCTTTACTTAGTTGCTAAGGTTGGGGTTGTCCAGTTGGTGATGTCTGTTATGGGGTCGTGATTCAGCTTTTACTTGGGTGCCTCAGGCTAGCGATCTCAGCAGCAATGAATGTCAGTTGCACAGTGTGAGGATGACTTCTTTCACTTCAGTCAGTCAATACTTGAGTACTTATAACAAGCTTGGGGAATGGCCTTTCCCAGCAAATTTCTGTATCCGCCAAATGGCATGTAAGTCCCATCATGCGCTTGAATTAATGACTTTAAGGTTGTTAATCATGATCCGAGAACATGCGTCTGTCAAACTAAGCTGGTGAGTAGCTGTTGCTTCTGCAGATTTGGGTATCCCGAGTGACATTAACTCTATAGACCTCCATAAGTTTCCCTCGTCAAAGCTGGGAACTATCTACTGCTTCCCGTACACTCATAGTTAGAAAATTGTCTACACAGAACAAGTCATGCGATTGGCGTCAGCAACGCTTACACGTCGCGATGGGACAAGTAACTTGCTAGCATGAAGCATGGCTTCAAGTCCTGGGAGAGGTGCTTAGCTATTCGAAGCCTAATGTGACTGCTATTACTGAATAGTGATACTTTCTCTGAGAGCAAGCGGCTCCACGAGTTCACCGTGGCCTATATGGGGTGGCCATCAACTGACTGATGGCTTCTATCCTAGATAGCTATGGTCGCCATATGCAGATACAAGGCTGAAAACTGACTGTGAATTGACTGACGAGGTGCTGGCACTTCTAGCATGTCAGCATGCTCCGAGTCGACTATAGACGAGAGTATTGTCCTGTTCAGACATTGCTCGTCTCTTAACTATTTAGAGGCTATGGTAGGATGGCAAGCTCTGGTGAAGGATTAGCTATCTTACGTGCTTAACATGCATACGACTTGCTACATTCATGCTAAAGCAACTTGCAGACCAAGCATTTCTCTCGGAAGAAAAGTCGTCGGCATTACATCGGCTCAAGTCCACTACTAAGCTCCATGACAGACAAGCCTGACCAGCTCCAAAAAGCTTAGCCGTGATAGCTCACGCAGAATAATTCTCCCCGCACCATCGGACAAGCACACTGCATGAATGAGGGATTAAACATCACTGGACCAGATGCGCGGCCTCATAGCGCATCTATGAGATATCGGATCACCATGGCTGTCCGCGGAGCACCACCACGTCAAACAACTCACTAACTGACCGTGGAAGATACCCCCGATCAATATGGAGACAACTTCATCCCAATAATGCATCTAACCCCAGAGCAAGCTCACTCCACCAACTGCAGTCCAACTGAGCCCTATCCTTCAACCCGACAGGTGGAACGCAATTCTCCGGCGCCACCACATTTCTCCGGCCTCCGTCTGGGGAAGAAGAAGCCCATGCATCATACGGTGATGCCATGATAGAATGCCAGTCTGGGGTAATTGACACCATGCAGAAGCTTGACTATCCCCGCATCCCCAGATTGCCCCGATGATCATATAAAATGGCCACAAAAATGAACAGGGTTGAATCTATACACCAGCAAGCCAATTCCCCCTACATCCCACACAATGCTCCTCCACGGCCTCCTGCTGGCCCTCCAGGCCATCCTAGCCTCCTCAGCAGCCATAACTTCTCCAACCTCAAATCATCTCTCAACCGCCGCTCGCGAGAAATGCCAAACAACCCTCCAATGCCCCCCCGGCACCATCATCGTCTCCAACACCAACACCCACTCTGACATCTCCAACTTCACCACCCTCCAAGCAGCCATCAACGCCCTCCCCAACGACAACTCCTCCCAAACCATCCTCCTCCTCTCCGGCTCATACAATGAACAAGTCAACATCACCCGCTCCGGCCCCATCACCCTCCTCGGCCAACAACCAGACCGCGCAGCCCTAACCGACCCAGCCCGCAACACCGTTAACCTCACCTTCGCCGGCGCCAACAGCGACAGCAGCGGCAACATCGACAACGTCTGGTTTAGCGTCATGGTCGTTGCCCCGACCCTGGACGCCAGTCTCACTGGCTCCGGCACAACAGGGTACCCAGTGCCAGCGGACACCCCGTTCGGGAATACCAACTTCCGCGTATACAACATTGACTTCCGCAACACCTACGCGCCGTACTCTGCTGGTCCGGCGCACGCTATCAGCTTTAGTCGCTCCAACGGCGGCTTCTACTACTGCGGCTTCTACTCTTACCAGGACACGGTACCTCCCCCCCACCCATCCTCTATCCCCAACCCACCACACCCCACTAACAACCACTACTTCACAGATCTACATCGGCAAACTCGGCTCGGCATACATGTACAAATCCATCCTCGCCGGCCAAACCGACTTCCTGTACGGCTTCGGCACACTCTTCATCCAATCCTCCCAAATCATCCTCCGCTCCTGTGGCGGCGGCATCACCGCCTGGAAGGGCACCAACACGACCGTCCGCAACAACTACGGAGTCTACATCCACGACTCGACCATCAACGCCGCGAACTCCTCCATCGCAGAGCAAATCCAGGGGTCCTGCGCCCTAGGCAGACCGTGGAACTCGCTGCACCGATCCATCTTCGCGAACACATACGAGGACGGGAGCATCGAGCCATCGGGTTACATCAATTGGGAGGATCGGTGGAGTAAGAATGAGACGCTGATGGCGGAGTATAGGGCCTTCGGCCCGGGGTTTAATATCACGGGCAGGGAGGAGAGTGAGGTGAGTGTGTTGTTGAGTAGTAGTCAGGAGGAGAGGTATAGGGATCCCAAGAGGGTGTTTTTGTTCGAGGATGGGAGGGAGGGGAATGTGGCGTGGATTGATTGGGATGTTGTCTCATCCTCTTGAGTTTCTTTTCTTCTTCTTCTCCCTGTTGGATGGGAGTATGTACATACATACATACATACATACACATGCAAATTACTTCCGCTGCTGAACAAGATCATCCAACCTCCCCGTTATAGCCAAATACGCCGCCCCCGTATCCGCCCACACTCTATACTCTTGCACTTTCCACTCCCCATCACCACCATCCTGCACAATCCTCAACCTATACACGAACCCCTCATCCCAACCCATTTCTGTCTCTTTGGCAATGAATTTCGCCCACCCACGGACACAAACACACCCTTTCTCCTCGTCGATTACCCAGTCCGTTTCATCCTCGAATCGCATCCCCTCGTAGCGTAGCGCCGCGCCCATGGTCTCGAAGTAAGCTTTCACTCCGTCTTGACCCGTGAAGTCGCGGCCGAGGAAGGGGGCGAGGTCGGGGAGGCCGGCTTCGTGGATTAATGGGGTGGTGCTGGGGGAGGAGGTGAATTGGGAGAGGATGGTGGAGAGGGGGGTGGGGGGGATTGAGTGAGGGTGGTGAGGAAGGTGTGGGTTGTTGACTTTAGAATGGATCTGTCTGGCATTGTGGTGTACGTAGTTGTTCGTTGGGATGATAGGGGAAGTAAGTAGGTTGTTGGGGTTGGGTTTGTTGTTTACTTTGTAGGTAGGTGATGGTGGTATAAAAAAAGGTATTGAATGACGTATGATCTATGACACATGACATAAACTGGATTGAACCTCACAACCAACTCCTCGCCTATCACACCCAACACCATCGTGAAAATACAAATTGAATGGATGAGTAAAACATGAATGGAGTATAATCAAATCGATTTGGCAGAATGGTCACTGCTTCCATGACTTGCCGCAGTTCATACACGTACAAAACAATGTCATCGGTTCATCTGCACTGCGCGTCTGCGCTTCCGTATATGTCACCTTGCGCTGTCCACACTTGCCGCATTGCAAGCTTGTACTGATACTCCGCTCCGCCTGTGCCACCATCGCCTTGTCCATGTTTTCCTTTTGAATTCTGCGGTCGCGTTCCTGCTGTTCCTCCGACCGAAGCTCGTCGTGCGACATCCGGACGAACCGTTCCGGCGTCACATCGCCGTTGAGGACCCGTACGCGCAGTGACGGGTTCGATTTGTTCTTCAGGTTCTGGTAGAGACTGCGAATCTTCGTGCGGTATTGTTCCTTCGTTTCCGGTCCGAGGTCGCTAAAGGCCGCCGCTTCGACGGCCGACGCCTTGGACAGAACTGTGCGTGGGGATTCAACCGAGTTGAGACACAGCCCATCGTACATCAAGCCGATGCAGCTATCGCGAATTCTGTTGCCGGTCTGGTTGGTGTCCACGCCATCGGCCTTCCAGGTACGCTTGTCGGGAGGCACTGAGAGCTTCGAGGCCTTATCGGAGGGAGTCGCACCGCCGGAGGGGGTGCCGTTGGTTTTCGGATGGGGAGAGCTGCTCGACCGTTGGCTGGCGCCGGGGGAGGCCCCGGCCTTTTGCTTGTTCACTTCGTGGCGCCACTTGGAGACGATTTCGCTCGCAAGACGGGCGACTTCGGGAGATTTGTGTTGTTTGAGTTTGTTGACGGCGATACCGACACGGGTGGATCGCAGCAGGTCCTCGGTGGCTTTCACCCCTTGTTGCAGCTGCTTGAGCAGAGGTATGATGGTAGAGGGAGGTTCGTTGGAGGAGGCGGCCTTGGTCATGGCCTTGGCCCGGAGCTCGATTTCTTTGGCGTCCATAGACATGATGGATATATGATGAGAGTATAGGTGAAGATATAGATATCGATTATATAGAGCTTATAGCGCCTATGACGATCAGTATGATGTTTATGCGATCGTGGGCATAAAGCGACATGTGTTGCGATAGCGAGTAACAGTATGTGCGACAGTACGCAGGAACAAACTCAAGCAGGGGTGGAGTCGGGACAGTTGTACGTGTGGGACAGTGCACGTGCAAATTCGCTGGCAAGTATATAGTTGACCGGCGATGCAGGGAATGCAAAAGAACCAAGCCACAAACAAGTGAAGTGGATGCGCCTGAAAGGAGAATCAAAGGGATGTGTTGAGATGATGGTGGACTCACTCTGTCGCACGAGCCGGTGGGATTCACCGTGCCGGGAATGGAGGAGAGGAGAGATGGATGAGGTTAAGATATTGTAAACTCTCGTATTAACTGAGAGGTGGATCTGAAGGGTTCTCGCAGCAGGGGAGATGCAGCGAACGAGAACCGGAAGAAGATGAGGTTGAGAAAATGATAGGAAGAGAGAAGAAGCCGTAGCAGAAAGGCAGTGGAGAGTTGCAGAAGAGAAGAAGAGAAGAAGAAAGCAGTAAAAGCAAGTCGCTTTCGCTGGAATTGCGATGGCGCCAAGCCCGGGGTTTCCTGATTGGGAATGGTGGGGGGGAGGCCTGCGGTGGGAATAGCATCAAATTGCTGTCATCTTGACACTTATACAGTCTCGAAGACTCACAACTGCCTCACTTCTGTGTCTTGCAGTTATACTCTGCTGAGAATTTCTTGATGCATCTGCAATAGACATAGCATATCTCACCACTACCTATTATAGTAAACTTACAACATACTACTACTTCTCTCAATCATCTCCAACACCCATCTCACCTCCTCCACCACTACATCCGGCCTCACCAAATGCACCTGATGTCCACAATCCACCTCGACCAACCTCGCTCTCCTCGACAACCTCAACTGCTCCCTCTGCCACTCCCCCACCACCTCCTTACATCTCCCCAGGAACCTTTTAACCGCCTCTCTTTGCTCACCACTCCCATTCCCCATCTCTACTCCCCTCTCATAAACCCTCTGATAATCCTCCCATCCCCGTCCCACCACCACAGACAATGGCCTCTCCCCTAACCCTCCTCCCTGCACCTGTAACTGCCTCTTCCCCTCCAACTCCCTACAAACCCCCACCAGATTCCCCCTCTCAGCCTCCCACATCCCCATTCCCCGCGCAATATCCCTCGCTCGCTCTCTCCACTCCTCCCGAGATAACTTAGCGTTCTCGCGTAAACCCGTCACCGTAGCGAAGTTCATCTCTCCCAGGACAGCAGTGATATCACTGTCCAGATTGGGATTATCGTCGAACAGTGTGTACTGATGCTCTGTTGATCCCTCGACGAGTACCATCCCGCTGATATCATCCGAGTAAAGGTGGAGGTACTCCCTCGCGATAATCGTGCCGTATGAGTGCCCCACTAAGACATATGGTGGTGGGAGATCTGCGTTGGTAAGTAGAGTGTGCAATTCCGATGCGGCGAGAGTCGCGCTGGGACTGTAGCTGGTATCTTGGTCTGGGGCATCGCTGCGGCCGAGACCGGTGCGGTCGTAGACCAGACACGGAGCGAAGGGGCTCAATAGCCGGATTACAGCGGTGTAGCTAGAAGAAACGTCGCCGGCGCCGGCGAGGAAGATGGTTAGAGGTTGAGTGGTGCGGAGTGGGCCGTGCAGATGCAGGTACAGCTTGTGGGGGCCGATGGAAATGTGGGTGCCAATGTAGAGGGGATTAGTTGACATGATGATGGTGGTAGTAGTAGTGTGTTGTGGAAGAAGCGGGAGTATGAGTGGATCATAAAAGGATGAGGCTTGCAGGGATCGTCACATGGTATTTTGTTGGTTTAGTTAGCTATTTTCATTGTAGTCTAGCTGATAGACTAGATAGTCAAATATTGGCTAGTGCATCATTCCTCATTAGCTCCTATCATGTAAATCATATGCTATCGACGCTCAGAGTGATTCGCAACAAAGATCTAATGTCAAATTTGAGACCCCTTTGGACGTAAATCCACCGTCTCAAATTCCAATCCCTTCGCTTCAAATACATGTCCCGGCCGCAGTGCGTCGGTGTAGATGTTCGCCTCTCCGTGGGGATGGAAGAGTCCTGACTGCGTGCAGTTGAGCACCGTCTTCAGCCCCGGCGGATCCGTCAGTCGGAACACTCCCCAGTCTGGCGTCTTACTAGGTGCGCACACGATTGCGATGCTCTCTGGCAGCATCACCTGGTATCCGCAATGCGTGTGCAGGTCGCGCGAGCTCATAAAACACGTCTGCGTCGGGTGCGTATGGATCCAGCCGAGCACCATCAGGTCCTCCGAATCACAGTAGTCGAAGATAGCTGACTCGTTCACCGTCTCGCATGTGTCCGAAGTGGCAGTCTGTTCAGGGATGAGAAGCCTCGACACGAACAAGGCGTTGGAGACAAGCGTGCCGCACAGAATGCCGCACGTCTCTAGATTGCGCTGCGTGTTCGGGGATACCAGTGAGATGAAGTGCTTGCGTAGATCAGGTGGCAGGAACAACGTCCGCAGAGGCGTTCCGTTCTCGAGATAAGCAGATGGCTTAAAGGTATAGCTGGACGGGTCCAGATCCGGGCTTGCAGCTGGTCCATCGGTTGCTGGAACCTTTCCAGGAAGCGCAGGAGGCTCAGCTGGGATCCCTGCGGACGAGATCTTGTCTGGACGAGGTGGAGGTGAAGGTCCTTCGAGGCCAGCCAATTCATGTACATACGAAGCTTTCTTAGGAGGTAGTGCGGGTGCTTTAGGCGGAAGAACAATCTTAGGCTCAACCTTTGCGGCCGACGGAACTTCCAGCGGCTTCTGACGAGGGACGCTCGGATACTTGTACGCGCCGGTCGAAGAGGTTGCTGAAGATGGCCGAACCATAGGCTTAGTAGCAACCTGTGGACGGTGATCCGCCCGCGGATCGTCCATCTGTATCCTCACGTTCTGTATGCGCCGGCTTAAGTCATCGTCCTCGGATCCATCTTTGCGCAGGGCATGCTCCCAGTCTCCCCACACGCCAGCTGCACGGCGAGTCTGCTCCTCCTCAGGTGTTATGCCTGCCTGTCGGATAGCCTTTCGGACAGTCGCTCGTCGGCTAAGCTCCGTCCGGGCCAGCTGCACCGCCAGGTCTTTGTTCTCTCCTGCTTCCAGAGGTTCCACAACTCCCGCAAGGGCGGGGTCCTGAGGGGGGCGTTGGATTGAAGTGGGAGTGTTATTCGCGGCTGCTGGTGCGCGAGCTTGCCGTTCACGCATCAACTGAGTATAGCGCTCGTAGCGTTTGTTGATTCGAGGTTTCAGGACTTCCAGGACCTTCAGGTTCCGTTTGACCTCCTTTTCGGCTTCCACCAGAGCTTTCCGGTTTTTCTCATCCTTGGCCTCTGGGTGTTCGGCCAAATTGACCAGTACTAGCTGAGCATGACGAAACAATAAAAGGTAGGCTTGTTCTTCGTGCTTTTCGCGTTCGTAAATGCGAGCCTAGCCACCATTCTCGTCAGGTCACTCCACCATACGAAGCAAGGAGTATACCAACCTCTCTCATGAGCGTAGACGCTGTTCGCAGCCAGTAGCGTAAAGGTATAGACGGGTTGTACTCATAATCCTGAGCCATGCGAGTGATCGATTCCACGCTCTGCGGAGACCCCGCACCGGTGGCTGGAGGTAGATGGGCAGCCATGACTGCGCATGAATCGATTTCACGGTCGATGATGATGATGATTAAATCGAAGAGAATCAGCAGGCCTGTCGCAGCAGTCGCAGTTCATTGACGTCTGGCGCGAGACCAGCGGCAGTCGTGGTGGGGGTGTGCCGCATGTAGATGATAGTAGGCAGCAGAGTCAAGACACCGAATGATCGGGTGATGTTCAGGCACGAGAAATGTGGAGCAGGTAATTTATAGCTTTAAATCAAAGTGCATCGTGTTTGCATTCCACCAACCGAGCGGGGTGGGCGATAGTTAGTCAGGTACAGGAGAGAGTGCAGAAGTTGGTTCTTTTTAAGTTCGGCGGAGCTGCAAAGAAGATCGGCCGGCGAGTCGCGCTGGTATTTGTTTCTCTCCATCTCTCGGCGTCCGCTCCACCTTCACTTCCATTCTTCTCGTTTCGGCCGCCCAACCATGACGCCGTCCGCCAGGGTCCCCTTCCTCGAATACCAGAAAGGCTGATCGCTCTGCATCTTGGTCTCGTCCGCAGACCTGGTGCTTTACAATGGCTCCACGAGCCTCAGCCCTCTCACGGTTTCCGCTTGCGAAATCGATCGCCAAGTGCTTCCCCGGCCACCTCAAGCGGAGAACCAACAGGAAACCGGAGATTGTCAGTGAGGAGCTATGTGGTGAGTGCAGCTAATATATTCTTCCTGTATTTTCTAACACCTTCGTTACACAGATCATGCTTTGCAGCGCCTGTCACCGTACCTCCTCCGCAATCGGCCGTTGGACATCCTCGACCTGTGGCCTGGAGCCGGCCTCTGGTCATCCAAGATCAACCGCCTTCTCCAGCCGCGACGACATGTCCTCGTTGAACCCGAGCTGCAGAACTTCCGACCGCTGCTAGACCCACTGGCCCAGAGCCATCCTTCCTACAAGTTATTGTCCATGGACGTCTTCTCCATCGGCGACTGGAAACCTGTGCTCACGGAGCATTTCCCGGAGCAAGGGCCCGACAATGGCGATCATACCGGTGTTCTGCCAAAGAACGACACCCTTCTAGTACTCGCGAACCTTCCCGCCACGACCTCCGACAAAGACCATTTCACCGCAGGCAGATGGTGGCAGATGTTCATGGAGACCTGCATGCAGCAGACGGGACTACACTCTTACGGGGCTATCCGATTGCTTGCGTCTCTACCATCGCCAGAATCACAGGCCATCATCCCCCGCTACGTCGTCGATCGCCGACGAGTGTCGCTTTGGACGGAGAATGTCGCGCTCCATACCTTCGAAGTCGCTGCTCCTCAAGACGAGAAATTCTGGGTCAACCACAAAGGATTTAACGTCGCCATAGACAACGCCGCGCGTGTCGCCGAAAGAGCCGCTGAAAAGAACATCAGCACACCCCCGGGGAGGGAATTCCAACCTCTCCTCCCAGCTCCGGAGAGTCCCGACCCCGGCCGGAAACCCGTGCCCTACACACCACGCATAAGGACTGCCCTTCACGACAGATTCTGCGAAGACATCCAAGCCCTGGACAACATGGATAAATCCACCCCCGGCTACGCCGAAGCCAAGAAGAAGCGCAGTCGCGCGCAGACCCGACTCAACCGGGACAACCGACAAGCATACTTCCTCCAGCAAATGGTCGACCAGTCGCGGGAAATCGACGCCCAATATGACGCTCTATCCCGAG